GTCATGACCTGACCGGAAAGGGTCATGTTGCATATCAGTCGATCCGTATCGTCGAGCTGAACACATATAAGGCATTTTCATCGCTCTAGCATGCCTCTATCAAAAGTTATTTGCGAAAAACTGTTAGATACCATTTGTGACCTAAGATGACCTCAGGGCATAAACAAGGGTCACGGACACCATTTTCATGTTCAGTGTGTCTAAACCACTTGTTATTCGGTGTTTGGGAGTGTTTATAATGTCGTTCGTCCAAAAGAGACGCATTTCATTTTTCTCCCATTGACTTATAATGGGGAGGTCGCAAAATTGACCTGACCTTAGGTCATCAATATCAAAATTCTGAGATATACATTTTGTACATGCTATTGCTCTTAGCAATCGCTGAAAGTTTCAAAGCGATCGGTCACTCGGTGTAAATATGACAGACATTGAAACTTTTTATGAGGTGAGGTCACTTCAAGTGACCTGGTGACCTGACCTTGAATGACCTTGGTCTGAAATTTTCACATGTGTAGAATTGATGTATGATAAGGTGTACCAAAAACGGCGGCGCTCCGCGCCGCCGTTTTTGAGATATTCGCGAAAAACCACAAGGGGGGGGTGTTCAAACACCCCCCCCCAGCAGGGCGCGGGTTAACTGGTATAGCACAGCTATGGGTCCATGCGGTCCGTATTGAACTAAAGGCAAAGTTGTCAAAAAGTCATACGAGAGCATCAAAATAAACTATAGCACCATAAAATAATGATCTCATGAGTCATAAGTATGTGTTTCCTTTACTAAAATGAGGTCAAATGGTTGGGCACAACCATCGCAAAACACCCACGTTGCATCAAGTGTAACGCTCCTTTTGGCTCTAGCAGTCTCCCACGCGTAGCACTCGGTGCTAGCGGCCTGTTTGTTTTTGCAGTCTCCAGAAGTACCGATGCTAGTTCCCTATGTTTTACTACAGTCTCTAAGAAAGCGGTGTTATTGTCGTATTCTTTAGTGCAGTCTCCAATAATAAAACGACCCCGCTCAAAACTCGCAGATAACGATTTCACTCCCAAGTACAATTTTAGGAAGAGCTACCTAACAACGTCATTAGACGTCACTGATTGCTGATGACGTCACTGTGTCAATGACATCATTAGTGAGTCATGCCGCAGTTGGTGAACGGTGTGTTCGTTCGTTACAGTTACGGCAGTGACCATTAACGGAGTCTGTAGAATGTTTCGGTGAAAATAACGCAGAGCTCGGTATAGGAAGACCCAGATTTAATAGCCATGGGGATAAATTGAGTTGTTCAAGTCTGCTAGATTATAGTGAAATGGTGATAATAATTCAATTTTGCGCAGTTTGGATTGGCTTTGCATTTAATGTCTGTGGTCAAAGTAATTATTGTGAAGAAAAATGTCTAAAACTCACGGTATCCCTGGAGTTTGACAAAGGTCGATATCAGCACCATACAATGTGACTCAATTAGTTAGATTCATCCTTTACGTCGCACCGATAAAATCTTCTTGAACTTGGTCTGGCACACGCCGAGCCTTATCCAATATTCCGATCGAGTCAGTGCCTACTGCCTATACTGCCTACTCTTGTATCCAATCTGCCCCAATCCTGCGGCTGCGTGCGTCCCAATCCCGTCGGCGTCTGTCCGTGTCCGTCCGTGTCGGGGCCGGTCGGTAACGGAACGGGATGACGGATGCAGATTACTTGACCATCTGTTGCTGCCGTGACGTCCGTCGGTCTGTCTGTCTGTCTGTCTGCCAAACGAGCTGTATGTAATCAGGGCACCTCCCGTCGGCCAGCCGGGGCGAACGGCCGCAAACGAACCAGAAAACAACGGTAAGAAGATAACTACCGAGTCGTCTGCGTAGACTGGCGAACGGCAAGAGATCGGTACAAACAACGGTCGTAATCAGAGATCGGGGGCTGGAGGGAGAGATAAAAACGCAGCAGTTACGCTGAGTTATGGATGCTCCTCATGCCTATTTGAGACGTCATAATGCTCAGGAAGTACTGGCTATAATAATGCATTAACGATGCATTAATGATTAAATTGCTACCTGTCTTATGATAAAAACAACACATCAGCATAGGATTTATCTACTGTAGCAGATCTTGCAATTTCAAATGGCTGTCCCACCATAACAATCTTCAGAAGACCCCACCCCCGACCCTGCGCCTCACGGGAAATGTTTCCAATCGACAAAAAGAGACGGAGAAACTAAAAAAAAGTCAAACACCGGAGCTGGCAAAATAACACCTTGAGGCGAAATATTAGCTTGTTTGCTTGCTTGTGATACTGGCATGCTGTATACTCGTAACAATAGAAAAATGAATTAGTACAGAACATATCGCACACTTTCATCTTTTATTGGCGCGGATGAAATAAAAACTGTTAAAATGGAGAAAACAACTTAAGATCTCGGAGTAACGTCCCAGTTTGCGGTTTCATCACTCAGGGGTGCATGAGCTTCCGACATGCGATACCGCCTCATCATGGGTTCGCACCTGCACTTGTTAGCAGCCCGAGAAGCCAAATATACCCGTTATGACCAGTCGCGCCCAGTGCACGTGAGTTTCTGTCGCAGAACTTCCTGATGCGACAGGTGCAAGTGATTAAGTAACCACTCTTCAGGGTAATTAACCAGCGAGTCACCGAACGGTCGCCAGTCATCCAACTGTGAACGCCGCCATATGTGAAATATTGCGCAACTATTGGCGTAACGGAGCCAGACGGTGGCCCATTTATGTGACATCCTGTGTGAGCTTTATGACAAAAACAGTATCAGTAATTTTGGGAGGTTTCATTGAACAGACAGAACTATACGGCCGATAACATTTTTGCGGTCTGCATAATACTTATGTTTTTAAGGGGCAGACTGGATCAAAGAATAAGGATAACTTATGTTTGCTTGCTATTCAAAATGGTGGGTGAGTAGAAATCGAGTTATCCCAGAAGATAAATAGGCGGAAGCAATACACAGATCTTTGAACATTGAACAGTGAATATTGGTCACTAGAAAATGTGTGATGATTTAGGTATTGCACTCATTAGAAAGGAAGCATAAGATAAATGAGAAATGCTGGTCATAAGCTAAGTAATTGGCGACAGTCGGCGAGATCCACGGAGTCGGCGATGCTGGATGCTGTTGGCTATCTAATGGATGGCATGGACCGTGGGTTCATTGGTTGCCTTACCACAGCTGATACATCCAAGGCCTTCGACAGCGTCCAGCATCGCCGGCTCCTGGAGAAGCTCGGCTGGTACGGGATTGACACTCATTGGTTTGAAAATTGGCTGGGCGGTCGCAGGCAGTCTGTGAGAGGTGGAAGTGGAGGTACGCTACCCATTACTCATGGGGTGGTTCAGGGGTCATTGTTAGGACAAATTTTATTTTTAGTATTTACAAATGACTTGGTGTCTTATATGGATGGCTCAAAAATTGTGATGTACGCCGATGATGTGCAGTTCTTGCACCAGGGATTGTCCAATAGTTTGACGGAACTCCAAGCGACTGTTGAGAGCACCGTGGCCACTGCGCATAGTTGGTTTGATGAAAATTGTTTGAAAATCAATCCCAACAAAACTGATCTAACTCTTATCAAATCTACCAGAAGACGATCTCCGTCTCAATTATCTGTTCGTTTTGGCAATGCAACTATCAAACCTTCTCCAACAGTCAAAGTGTTGGGGATGACAGTAGACGGAGGACTCACATTCGAAGCTCACGTCTCAAGCGTGGTGCGGCGCTGCTATGCTACACTCGGTGGTCTCTCAAAAATGACCGGCAAATTGCCCGAGATGGTGAAAAATGATAGTAGAAACGCTGATCTTTCCACACATTTCGTATTGTTCCACGGTGTGGGCCGGGTGTACCAAGATCCAGCGCCACCGTTTACAAAAGGTTATCAACCACTGTGCGCAGGTGGTGAAGGGCACCAGACGGTCTGCCCATGTATCACCACTGATGGTAGACCTGAACTGGCCATCCATTGACTCAATGATCACTGAGCGTGATGTTGCACAGGTGCATTATTTGCTTTATCACCCCCAAGCGCCGTCCAATGTAACCCAGGGCATTGTGCACCGATCCGATGTCTCCACCAGGGACACCAGAGCCGCTGTGGCTGGTGCCCTGCAGATTCCCAGGGTAAACAGTGAACATGCGCGGAAGTTTTTCTTTTCCCGCGCGCCCGCCCAATGGAATCGCGCCCCTGCCGGTGTGACAGGGGCTCGCTCAGCAGCGCTGTGTCGCAAAAGAGCGAGAGACTGGCTGAGGGAACGCGACTGATATGAATGTGTCACTAATATGTCTTCAAACATATACTTTGTGCTTCCGTATGGGTGTTGTGCATTTTAGTGTTACTATTAGCTTTCGTATGTGTATTTTATCTTTGTATGTACTTTGACACTTGTCCCGAAAAGCCATTTACCATGGATGGACATAAGAATAAATGATGATGATGATGATGACAGTTGGCATTAATTCTGTCGTTTATTTGAACGATGCAAACTGGGCATGAATCCCAAACAAAGTCTTATGGAAATGAGGTCCACACTGGCTGGCTCGACAGACTGCCTCCGGAGCCGTCCCGGTGCCGTGGTGACCCACCACTGTCCCCGAGGCACAGTGACCCAGTGACCAGTCGCTGGATGTCAGCAGGCAGGCAGGCATGCAGTCAAGAGAGAGGACATTCCTCTGCACGGATGCCTGCGCCACGCGCGTCGGTCACCATCTGCCACCAACCGCAGTCCAGCCACCGCAAGACGCACGCATCTCCGCGCCGCCGTGCCGGCCGACCGCACAGGCCCGCAACATGTGCACGGCAAGCGGCGGCCGGCGGAGCACCCAGCCGTGAAACCGATATACAGTTTCGGCCTGTCAGACGGCGGCGCCGCCAGCCCAAGAGCGTCTCCGCGCATGCGCGCTGCGCTGCTGGCCTCTCGGCTGGGACCGACGGTCATCTGCTGAGAGCTCCGGTCAGTTGGAACTCAGTGGTGAGGCGCGGTGGTCGTGTGCCGGCGCGCTCCGCGGGACGGTCAGACATGACCGGCTGATTGGACTGGGAGAGACACGCAGAGTAGATAGAGCGACAGACTCCGTAGGGAGGACAGTGAGCGGTATGAGGTGGTGTGTGATGGCGGCGGTAGCGCCGTTGCTGCTGCTGATGCCCGTGTTGGCAGCGGAGTCTCCCCATGATACGCCAGCAGAATTGACCGCCGATGTGCTCCGCCAGCTGCGTGTCCAAGCTGGAGAGTTCGGCGATCAGCTGTGGTCCCGATCGGCAAGCTCAGACGACACACACCGACTTCGGCGCTACCTCAGGGACTACATCCGACTTCTAGCGAGGCACGGTGTGCGTGAGCCAGCGCAGGTGCGCGCACTGGTGGCCCAGCATACCGCCCTCCTTCCGGCCGTCATCACCCAGCCGGAGGCGCTCCGACCACTGCTGATGGCAGACGGAGCACGCCGACTCAGCATGTACAATCTGCTGGACGCGGAGGTTCCCCTGCTGGGCCAGGAGGAGCCAGAAGCGCAGCCTCAGCGACAGACCCTGAGACAGCCTCGGCCACAGCAGCATCAGGACGGTGATCTTCCTTCCAGAGTGGTCGTCTTCAGTGCCTACAACAAGGACGTGCCGGCGGCGGTGAGGGATAAGCTGACGGCCTCTGACGCGCCGCTGGGAGAGGGGGAGCTGGACGGCCTGCTGTTGGAGCTGCTCCAGGCGGCTGCTCAGAGACACGAGGCGATAGGCGAGTCCGGCCCGACCGCTCCCACCGCTGCGGAGTTCTCAGGAGACTCGCAAGATCCAGGTACAGTAAACAGAACTAAAAAGGGCATCGTCAGCGTGTCAAAGAAGGACTCACAGACCTCGTACATCATTTACCCCGACAGGAAACCGGCAGCGAACCGGCCCAAACATCGACGTCCGCAGCAGAGACTGGACGACGCCGGGTTCCAGACCATCAACGCTCAGGTGGAGACCTTCGACATGAACAGGCAGTCGCTGGTCACAAGTCAGGGTGTCTCACCGGAGGGAGAGCGTCTCACGACCGTAGTGCCATCACCTCCCACGGAGCGGCCTGGATTGGCCTCTCGCCGTCCTCGACCTCAGCGGAGGAGGCCGACCCATCGGACACGAAGGCCGCCAACTTCTGCATCAACTGAACCACCCCGTACAGCAACATCGCCAAGACCGACTCGGACCACCACAGAGCCAAGCACACCGAGTGACCAGGTTAGCTCGGAAGTGCCTGAGGCTGTCACCGTTCAGCCTCAGTCCGAGGTGGAGTCACGATCGACGACAAGGCAGCTGGTAGCACCGGGAGACCTTTCCACCGAGCAGACTGGTCAGTCATTGCAGTACGGAGACTATCCGCAGGATGACGAGCTATTTCAGTACTACTACGACTACCAGGATGACGGCGGGGACTATCAGACAGGCCCGGGAGACTACCAGCCTGTACAGGAAGTCTACCGACCCTCACAGGCCTATAGACCTAGTGAAGAAGGTGGGAGCGAGGCTCCTCCAGCCAACATCGAGTTCAAACCGGAGCGACCGTCCACGGGACGTCCAGCCGTGATCAAGTCATCACTAGTGATCATCCCGCCCCCACCAGAGCCACCCAAGGACGACACTAAGCAGGTAGTGAGATACACAGCCACTCCCCCGCCGATGTCTGTGTCCGCCAGACCCGCCGAAGATGACCAGAAGCCCTCAGAGGCAGGGATGTCGGCTAAGCAGCCTCCTAATGGCTCGCCTGGAGATCAGAGCGTGGACCCTTCCAAAGACGTAACTGGAGATCTACCGCAAGCACCCGGAGGATCGCAGTCAGATCAGCCAGAGATCAGTCCAGGTCTCCAGGCGTTCCTGGCACGCTATGAAAAGACCCAGAAGGAGCGAGGACATCAACAGGTTCAAGATCGGCCTCCACAGGAGGACGGTACGGGTATGCCAGCATCTGAGGAGATAGAATACCGGCGACCCGCTCCGCAGCCGATTCCCACAGCCCCACCTCCAGCAGTCGCCCCCGCTCCCGACATGCCTGAATCGAGCGATGGCCAGCCCCAAAAGAAATACCCCAAGGACCCATGGGAGCTCTTCAACGCCTTATTCGAAGACGATGAGCGCACTGAGCGGCCGCCGGTACCGACGACCACGACTCCTCCACCAACACGTCAGCCCTCCCGACGTCCAATACCGTCCTTGTCTGACCTGCTGATCCCTCTGCTGACGACGTACCACCGGTTCCAACAGGTGAGCCTTGGAGAGCAGCGTCCGACTCCGCGTCCGACTCCTGCCGGACCCCTCGGCCAGATTCCGCTGCTAGTGCCGCCTCAGCCGACGGTTCATTACGCACCGACGCCGCCTCCATCGCCGCCCCATGGTTTGCTGGCTCACCGAGTGGGGCGGCCGCAAGGTGGTGGAAGACCGCAAGGAGGTGGTGGAAGGCCTCAGCATGGAGGAGGAAGGCCACAGCATGACGGAGGAGACGACGTTCCGCTAGTTCAAACGATCCCGTTGTCTGATCCGCAGCTGAGGCTGCCCAAGCTGCCTCTGCCGTTCGGGATCATCAACGGAATGCAGGTTTCAGACGGCCAGGATGACAGTGAGACTCGCCCAAGGCCGCCTGAGAAAGACGGAATGGAGGGAGGAAGGCCTTGGATGAGGCCCATCGACCTTAATAGACCGGATTTGGGGAGACCATGGCATGGCGCAGAGGAAGACTCTGACCGGCGACGACCACCGATGATGTCGCATGGACCTCAGAACAGAGTGGGAGCAGTTGCCGAGTCGGAGAGACCACCAATGACAAGGCCAGAGAGGCCATTCGGCCCGCCCAGACCAGGAACAGGGTCCAACGCCAACCGGAGAAGACCTAGACCACGGCCCGCCTTCAATCCAGACAGACCTCAGAAACGCCCCCAGCCGCCCTGGTTCGGAGACCAGGGAAGACCATGGTCAGGTCCTGTAGTTCAGGATGATCGAGAAAGGCCACCGCCCGACTTCGCCATTGACAGGGTTCAGGAGGGACCTCGTCCTGAGTTCGGGCCAAACCAAGACCAAGAAGGTCCTCGGCCTGGCCGCCCAGCTGACCGTCGTCCCGAAATGCGTCCAGAGTTTCGTCCAAGACCTCGTCCAGGGGGCCGCCCAAGACCGCCACCGGAAGTTCTTGCCGGAATGCACCCACCGCTGGACCTCGCCTCTCACTGGCGACCAGACGCGCCCGAGAAACCGATGATGCTGGCGACTCGACCTCCACCATCAGCTGATCGACCCGAATTGCCGATCCGAGGTCACTTCCCACACCTGCTACAGAACAGAGATGGGCCTCCCTCTAGTGAGCGGCCAGAGAACAACACGGAAGGTCGGCCGGGACGACGGCCGATGGACAGCACCGTGAACGGGGTTCCGCTGGTAGAGTTGAGGCTGCCTCAGTTCCTGGCAGGACTGCAGGGCGGTAGGCCGATTCCGCCTCACCTGGCGCCACCACCGCCTCGTCTGCCCCTCGGGCCGCAACTGCCAGGCCCTCCACCGCATATGTTTGATCATCAGACGTCCCACGACGCTCACGGACCTCACGAAGGACCACCTCACAATACTCATGAACGTCACGAAGTCGCAGGACCACAACATGACCAGCCAGACACCTTCCACCACCCACCTCCTCAGCTGCAACCTACAGCTCCTCCCGCGCCAGCTGCCACCACCGAGCATCCAGTGATGCGTCTGACACGGCCTCCACCGCCAGCAGAGAACTACTACCCAGCAGCATCACCTACTCAGGCTGCAGACTACGGTGACTACGAGGACATCATCACCGCTTCCGCGCCTCTACCAGACCTGAATGAGATCGGCTCTCCAGCCCAGACTACTACGGAGAAGGATCTGGAGACCCTGGGCGCGATCGTTTCCAGTGTGCTGAGTCACCAGCCGAACCAGACCGAACAGGCTGCGATCGACAGGAACATACTAAGAAAGAGGTACGGGCTGGCGGCTGTTGGTGAGGGAGGGTACCATGACGAAGAAGGAGGGTATCAGAGGTACGATGTCTACGAACAGAGGGTGGAGGATAAAAAGCCAATCGACTTCCAGCAGTGGCAGCCGCAGACGACCAGCGAGACTCCGATCAGCTCTGAACGTCCAGAGAACAGGGTAACCAGCATGCCTGCCCGACCTCCGAGACCTCAGCCTGTCACACCAACGAACCTACCCGAGCCTTCGAGAACAACTCAGCTGCCCGAGCCCGCCAGACCAACCCGACTTCCGCAACCAAACAGACCGTCACGACCGACCCAGCGAACTAGAATAACCCAGCCTCCACGTCAGTACGAGAGGCCAGTGAGACCTGCGTACCAACCACCCCCTCGTCCTTCCACAACTTCAACAACGCCGTCAACCACCACAGCATCGACATCAACCAGCACGACCGAGATCGCCCTCCTCGCAGAGCTGCCGTCTCAGGGCCCGGCGCTGGACCGTTCCAACGCCGTGCCGGGGTACGAGCTACCCGCCAACTCCACTGACGACGCTCCCACAGAGCCAGTGAAGTCAGCTTCACTGCCCTCCGAGGAGATCGCCTACATCCTGATCGGCACCACTGCCGGCCTCAGCGTCTTCTGTCTGGTGATCGTCGCCGTCACGATGAAGTGCAGGAGAAACTGTAGCGTATACGCCCTGCTGTCGAGACTGATGCACTCGGAGTATATCCAGGATCTCGGAAGTCGGATGTCCTCCGCGCGGTCTCACCGCTCCGCGGCTGGTGGAGGCGGGGATGCGCCTACGCACAAGCTCGGCTCGTGGTTCAACGGAAGGTCCGAGTCGCTAGGCGGAGCAGAAAAGTTCCGCAGCAACATGGCGCTGCCGGTAGGCTATAGCAGCAACATCTCATCACTGGGTGTGAAGCAGCCCAAGCCACACGGCTACAGCGTGCGTCGACTGGACGTTTCCGCCGGCCAGCTGGTGAGCTCGACCTCGAGCAGTGCTGGGTCTGTGGCGGACACCTCAGACGACCAGGCGACGCTGGATCACAAGCGCGAAGGCAGCGGCTCGGAAGCAGGACGTGCTGCCAGTCGCGGCACCTCGTGGCTGCACGGTTCGTACGTGTTCGGCAGCGGACAGGCGCGGCCGCGACCCGGCCCGAGCGACGGACCCGTGCAGGGAGTCCTCTATCGGCGCAGCTCAGACGAACTGCCTCCCACGCCTGCGGCAGCTGCCGCCGCTGCTTCAGATGCCATAACATCAGCTGCCTCGGCCTCTGCTGGAGAGTCTAAGAGGTCCCGGCGGCGAGCACCTTCGGGATCCCAGCAGGCGACGGCATCCCCGTCACGACGCGGAGGCAGCAGCCGTCATGGCAGCCGTCAGGGTAGCCGGCGCGGACCTGAGCTATCCTCCATCCGTCACCAAGAGTCACCAGCTGAGACTAGCAGCCGCGCCTCACACCGCCATCGCAGCCGTTCGCGAGCTGCCAGTCCAGAGATCGGCGCCAGACGCCGCAGTCAGTCCAGAGCTCGCAGCCCCGAACACCGCGGTCGGAGGCGCAGTCACTCGCGAGCTCGGAGTCCGGAGCAGCACAGACGGCACAGGAGCCACTCACGAGCGCAATCTCCTGAGCGTCAGGTGCGCCACCGCAGTCAGTCGCGCGCGCGCAGTCCCGAGCGGCGCAGCCGGCGCAGTCTGTCACGGGCCACCAGTCCGGCGGTGCTGGCGGCGGCCGCGGCTGCTGCGTCCGTGGGGGCGGTCAGGCGGAGTCCGAGCGAGCCCCGCCAGCAGCGCCGCCGGCCCAGGGACTCCTCTCGGCCACGGGAGGTCTCTGAGCACCGCGCCTCGCTGCGGCACGTTCGCTCACTCGCTGAAGCCGTCTCGGAGGGCTCCAACAGCGCCGTCAACTGGTCCTCTAGCGATGAGCGGCTTATCTGAGACGAGTGATTCGCTCACAGGAAAGGGTCAACCGAAACAGAGGCTCATTTCAAGAGAAAATGTGAAGAAAACTGATCGGCAGGGCCGAGTGATCCTGAATTACCAGTGTCGATTGGTCGCAGGCTATAAAAAAAAAATCTGAGGCATTACTAGAAGCAGATGACTGAGGCTGGGACCAAGAACTAGGGCACTGTTACAAGTCAAATGACAGTCTGAGGCATTATCAGAGCTCAAAACCAAATGGGGCATACGAAGCTATGAACAAATATGGAAAAAGTATAGGTTTCTTAAACAGGGAAGCCGGCAGTGTCGAATCGACGGAGCCAATGAAGTGGCATGAAAAAGTTTACGGTCACCTAGAGCGAAGGGTATGGATGGATGATCCATTTTCTAGCTGATGTCTGCCATCAAACGTGAAATGAGTTCGGCATGACGGGAAAATGTAGCTATGCCATTTTTGTTATTTGTTGTACGATGTTTTGTTTTATGTATATTTGGGTCCGGCGACCCACGGCCGTCCGATGCAATATGTCGTCAACGTTCGTTACGATGTCGTTATGTTGTTACGGCCGTGCATTTGCTGTCATGTTACGCGAGGTGGTGTGGTGATGTGAGAGTATGAGTGATCGGGGCGGGGACGTATGACATGAATGTAAGCGCAGTGCGGCACATTACATTCTTGGATATCGGTGTGACATCTCGTTCACGGCGCATTGTAAAAGTTGTTGTGTTATGCGTGGTTCTGTGGCATTTATTCTGAGCGAGATGTGAGCGGCATGCGTCCTTCTGTGCCCATGTCCCATGTGCTGTCCGTCCTGAAACGTTTATCTCTGTTGATATTAGTGATTTGTTATATCGTTTGTATGATCTTCTAGTTACAATATTTACATGATTTGTCGTGGGCACTAAAAACGGCATTACCATGTAACAATCGAAGGGTGTTGAATGTGTGTTTCGTAGCAGGTTGCTCAAGCGTCAGCTTGTTAGACCCAAAACGAGTCATGTTTATCCAGTGATGTTAGAACCTGCGCACTTCGTATAAATACACGTGAAATGAAGTAATAATCACATGCCTCTTTTATCCAACCATTATGATCGCAACAAAAGGAAGTCAGTCGCCAAAGCACTCATCTACCTGGAGAGTTATAGAGCAGGACGTCATCGCGTGAAAAAAAGTAGAAAACATATAATAGTCACAAACACTGACCTAAACGCAAAAGGTCAGTTCCTTTGACTGCTCCATAATAACTGATCAATTCGGAAAAAAGCCGTACGAAACGCCCGAAACGATACAGAATGCAGAGTTACATATTTGAAAGGCCATGAGCTCCGTGGACTCAATCCCAAATCCCCGTACCTACAGATAGTCCTGGACCCAAGGCAGCATACATGTCTTACTCCGGAGTCACTAGTCGGATTTAGCCTGCGCTCCGGGTACTGCTGGCTACAGTTAGAACGTAACCACTCAAGCGTTACGGGAGGCCAAAGTGGGACAGCACAGCCATTACACATGCTAAGATATTCATTACCGGTTTGTAATAAATGACCGGGCCGCCGCCGTATTGGTACGCGAGATCTCGTGGGTGGTTTTATTAGACATAAAATAAAAACAACGGGTTGAGTTTAATTTGACAGCATTGTCATCGTAGTCCAGTTTCATCTTACTGAATTTGCTGTAACGACTAACCAGTTATAGATAAAGCAGAGCCAAACGTTATTTGCGAGTCACTGAGAAAAAAAGTTTTAGAATACAAAATATACTCAAGACAAAATATATTATTCACATCGCACTGTGAGAAACTTTGTTCCTCCGACACGGCCAGACCGTGGCTGCACCGCCGGACCCGGCGGACCGCGCGGCGACCGCACCGCACCCCACCGGCTGATGGGCCCGGCGCGCCCTCTAATCTGCCGACGGCCGGGGGCGGAATGCGGCGGCGGCCGCGCACAAACAACCGCGGGGGAGGATGCGGCGTGGTGGGAACCGAGAGCCGGCGCAGGAGCGTGACCAGCAGCAGGTCGACAGACCCGAGCTCCTCCGACGGCGCAGCGGACCACACCGGACCTCCTGACGCCGCCCCTGCGACATCCATCTCCGCCATCTACCTGGCCGACCGACTCCCACTGTTCGGCGCCGCCTGCCGCCGGAGGGCAACAAACAACCCCACCACGATAGGGGCAGGCCGGCGGCCGGCGAGGTCATTGCCACGGCGAGTCGGTGACCTCTTCTACTACGGTGTCCTGAGTTCTGTGGCTGTTCTGTTTTGCTCTGTTCTGTTCTGCTCTGTCCTGTTCTGCCCTGCCATGTTCTGTGCGCTCTGTCCTGCGGGACTAGCCGTGCGTGCCGCGCCCGAGGCAACTGCCAACCGCCGGAGGCGCGGTATATAAGCTGAGTCCCGCAGTGATCCCTCTCATCCATCCGTGCTTCTATCCTCAGGATACTGAAATCCTTCTCCTCCACGCCGCAACCCCCCTCCGGGCTGGACAGGCAACTTTATCTCATGCGGGCTGCTCCCTTGGAGCGGCACCGCTGCTCCTGAGGGAGCGCACCCCGTAGCCGGGTGCAGTGAGTGCCTTGGGGCTGAGTGGCCTGTCCTCTGGACGGGCTCAGCCCCGGCGACTCACTAGGGTGCCTGCCCAGACCAATGTCTCCCCCTAATTCCTATCATCCTTCCGGCTCTGCAATGGTCTTGTCGACCGAAAGGGCCTAACCCAACAAAACAAAACAAAGTGATCCCTCTCTCTCTTCGCTCTCCACTGGAGTCTTGGACTGCCCGTGCGCGACGTTGTGCATCCATACCTCCTACCCAATATCATGTAAGTAGAAGGGGGCGGCCCTTATTTGGCAGTGTATATAGCCATGATCAATGTAATAACAATGTGGGCATATGTAAATAATTACCTTGAAAACTTGCACAGTCTGTTGTGGGACAAATGGTGGGGGAGAGAATGAACGGCGAACTGAACTGAACGGCACGGAACTCGGCAAACGTAACATAGAGCGGCTCGGAAGCTCAAACAAACGCTACCTTTTAAACGTCACGGTTAACTTCGGCACGCCACGCTACCAATAGTAATCCCAACCGTAGCAATGATAGAAATAAGGAACGTAACAACTTATAGAGAGAAAAAATAGTTTCACAGTGGTGACAGCGGTGGGATTACAAAAACTGACTTTTATTTTAAGCACGCCAAAGGCGAGCTAAATTAATCTGTTGTCGGTTCCGCTCCAAACAGGGCGGCGAACCCAATGTTTTTTTTTTTATTGCAATATATTTCTTAAATTGTGATATTGTTTTGCCTTTAATATTAAATGTAAGTCATGTATGTAGGTATCGGGCCGTTCATGTTCGCAGTGGTTCATCTCCCCCGACCTGTCCCGGCCAGTGGGCCAGGCGGGCGGCTCGGCCCTCGCGGTCAGTCACCGCGGGGTGCCAGCGCCGGCTCGCGGCGGTCCCGCGGCAATTAGGCCCTGCCCTCCGCTCTGTCTGATTGGTGTAGGGACGGAGGATGGGCGTGGCCAAATTGAGTGTGGGGCTGAGGGGTGCCTCTGAGGACAGTGTATGTCCAGGTGTTCTTCCGCGTCATTGCTGAGGGTTCTCGGGTCCATTCGTGCATTGTGCTGAAAGCAACGAGTTTTGAGGTGAGCGATTGAATTCGCACTTATCGAAGTCGCGATTGCCCTACCAGTGACCCGGGACGATTGTTTATGAGGGACCGGCTGCCGTCTCATATTGCAAAGTGTACACGCCCCAAAAGCCCATCAACTGAGCGGTAGGCCAAGCGCGGCTTCGGGCCAAACGTTGTGTGGGGTGAAGCGCTGCTCCACGCCTGATTGGGACTGCAGCCCATCAGAGCGAAGTGGGCATAAACAATCGTCCTGTGTGAGTCAATACCCGACTAGAGATGGGTTAGTTCGGGGGTAGAGGCCGTGTGTCCATAACGCTACTCGTTTCTTATTTAGGGCTTTCAGCACAATGACCGAACCGGAAACCCGGAAACTGCGAACGGGAAACGCTGACCATGGGAAAACATAGATTGACAGTTTCTTCCAGAGCATTACCGGACCACGCGTTGGTCAGGATGCGAGACCGCTGCTGGAGACGCCAGCAGCGGAATGAGAACGGGCTGGAGCGGTGGAGGAGCCGCAGCTCCGGGAGGACTATTCGTCCTCCTCGGACGCAGAGTCACAGGTGGTAGTGACCGAACTGACTCCACAGGTCCCCCAACAGAGGAGGCGGCGGCACGGCCGACCCAGGGCCCACGAGGTCTCAACGGATAGGAGACCCCTGGCCGTTAAAGTCCCTGAGGACCTATATGGCCTTGCCCTGAGGAAACTGAGTTGGGAGTAAAGTAAGGATAGCTTTGCAATCAGTTTGCGCCCCAGTATGATGGTACATGGCTTCAAGTGTATAAATGTGTTTATAAGGCGAACAGACATTCCAGTGGATGTTGATTTCAGTGCCTTTAGCACGGCTATCGTTAGCGGAGAAACAAGTACGTAGGTAGGTAACAGACTATAGGGTTCGCAAGTCGCAAGTGTCTAAAACGTTCTTGATGGTTTAATATTGCTTACTGCCAAACATGCAAGCGTTGCAACATCGGCCAATCAAGTGGTCAGTTGCAAGGGTTCAGTGCATTAGCTGCTTAAGTTACCGTAACAGAAATATGATTAAATGTGTTGAATCATTTTGCCATTAATGATGTTGCTAATGAACCTAAGGAAAGTGGTGGCCTACTTGCTCCTGACCTTGTCCAAGGTACAGCACATTTATTTTACCAAATACCGTCTGTATACCTATGCCTTCCGGCGAAGTCAATGTCTTTTTTTTTAGTCAGTCTAAATGGAGTGCCATGAATAAGAGTGAGCGCTGCCAGAAGCCCAATAACTGCATCCGAACGCTGAGCTGCCGAGACTAACTAGAACGCCAGGTAACGGTCATGAAAGTACAGCTCTATCGAAACAAGCTAATTTGAAAAACTAGACCAATTCTGCGGCAATGTCCATCCCTGGCCGTTACAAATGACGAGAATTGGGCAACGATGTTCTGAGCGAACTCAGCCTCCCGATATCATGACTCACAGCTGTCCGCGGTGTATGGAGCGTCGGCTCAAGTTGCAGACTACTTGCAGTGGCAGATAGCCAAGCGCCAAATGGTTGCAAAGACAGCCCAGGTAGCACAAAGTGCACACCTGCTGCTCGCTTCTTGGGACCCTACAGCAGTGAAACCCATCGGCGTTCACAGCGGTGGTCTCCGTCTTCAACATGGGTCGACTCCATTGCAGATAGGAGGAGCTCACGTCAGAGTGAGCTATCACTGTCTAGAAGGTCACCATGAGCGGGCTAAAAGGGTCACAAAGTCATGGCAACTGTCCAAGCACATGGTACTGGCACCTGCACACCGGCAGTCTTGTGTAGTCCAACAAATGGGACAGTCAATTACGCTCGGGACAGAGATGCTCGGCTGTCAATAAAATGGCATCAGTGATGGGACGTCACGGAGTCACCCAAAAATTATATAAGTTGTACAATGCTTAAGGACTAGAATCCAGTGAAACGTTGTTAACGTGACAAGGCAAGAAACCGATACTTTGTGTTCAGTTGTCCGAGTTTGGGATAAGGATGCGAATATACGGCAGAGCTGAGAGCGCTACTCGCACATTCAAAGGCACAAGAAGCCAGTACCTAAAATTAAGCAAAGTCATAACCAGTTATTACTGAGGCTCGACTGTTTGACGCCATTCCGCTCCTCTCACGACCAAGTTAAATCCTAGTCCAATTGGTTCCAAATGGCCATTTATTTTGTAAATGACGAGGACGTAACGCATGTCATGCAGTACCAAAGCGACAGCAACGCAGTAACGCAGTAAGAAATATTAAACCATAATTAAATGACTAGTGGAAGCAGTACCCGGGGCAGAGCTAAACTGTGTTTTGGATCTCCCAATTCAGTTGAAATATCAACATGTCCAGGAGTTGACCTGTGTTTTATGACCCACAGATGTCTACCCGGAGTTCGGAATCATTCTCTCATCTATAATCATCGGAGGGATGTGAGAAACTTTGTTCCTCCGACACGGCCAGACCGTGGCTGCACCGCCGGACCCGGCGCGGCGGACCGCGCGGCGACCGCACCGCACCCCACCGGCTGATGGGCCCGGCGCGCCCTCTAATCTGCCGACGGCCGGGGGCGGAATGCGGCGGCGGCCGCGCACAAACAACCGCGGGGGAGGATGCGGCGTGGTGGGAACCGAGAGCCGGCGCAGGAGCGTGACCAGCAGCAGGTCGACAGACCCGAGCTCCTCCGACGGCGCAGCGGACCACACCGGACCTCCTGACGCCGCCCCTGCGACATCCATCTCCGCCATCTACCTGGCCGACCGACTCCCACTGTTCGGCGCCGCCTGCCGCCGGAGGGCAACAAACAACCCCACCACGATAGGGGCAGGCCGGCGGCCGGCGAGGTCATTGCCACGGCGAGTCGGTGACCTCTTCTACTACGGTGTCCTGAGTTCTGTGGCTGTTCTGTTTTGCTCTGTTCTGTTCTGCTCTGTCCTGTTCTGCCCTGCCATGTTCTGTGCGCTCTGTCCTGCGGGACTAGCCGTGCGTGCCGCGCCCGAGGCAACTGCCAACCGCCGGAGGCGCGGTATATAAGCTGAGTCCCGCAGTGATCCCTCTCATCCATCCGTGCTTCTATCCTCAGGATACTGAAATCCTTCTCCTCCACGCCGCAACCCCCCTCCGGGCTGGACAGGCAACTTTATCTCATGCGGGCTGCTCCCTTGGAGCGGCACCGCTGCTCCTGAGGGAGCGCACCCCGTAGCCGGGTGCAGTGAGTGCCTTGGGGCTGAGTGGCCTGTCCTCTGGACGGGCTCAGCCCCGGCGACTCACTAGGGTGCCTGCCCAGACCAATGTCTCCCCCTAATTCCTATCATCCTTCCGGCTCTGCAATGGTCTTGTCGACCGAAAGGGCCTAACCCAACAAAACAAAACAAAGTGATCCCTCTCTCTCTTCGCTCTCCACTGGAGTCTTGGACTGCCCGTGCGCGACGTTGTGCATCCATACCTCCTACCCAATATCATGTAAGTAGAAGGGGGCGGCCCTTATTTGGCAGTGTATATAGCCATGATCAATGTAATAACAATGTGGGCATATGTAAATAATTACCTTGAAAACTTGCACAGTCTGTTGTGGGACAAATGGTGGGGGAGAGAATGAACGGCGAACTGAACTGAACGGCACGGAACTCGGCAAACGTAACATAGAGCGGCTCGGAAGCTCAAACAAACGCTACCTTTTAAACGTCACGGTTAACTTCGGCACGCCACGCTACCAATAGTAATCCCAACCGTAGCAATGATAGAAATAAGGAACGTAACAACTTATAGAGAGAAAAAATAGTTTCACAGTGGTGACAGCGGTGGGATTACAAAAACTGACTTTTATTTTAAGCACGCCAAAGGCGAGCTAAATTAATCTGTTGTCGGTTCCGCTCCAAACAGGGCGGCGAACCCAATGTTTTTTTTTTTATTGCAATATATTTCTTAAATTGTGATATTGTTTTGCCTTTAATATTAAATGTAAGTCATGTATGTAGGTATCGGGCCGTTCATGTTCGCAGTGGTTCATCTCCCCCGACCTGTCCCGGCCAGTGGGCCAGGCGGGCGGCTCGGCCCTCGCGGTCAGTCACCGCGGGGTGCCAGCGCCGGCTCGCGGCGGTCCCGCGGCAATTAGGCCCTGCCTTCCGCTCTGTCTGATTGGTGTAGGGACGGAGGATGGGCGTGGCCAAATTGAGTGTGGGGCTGAGGGGTGCCTCTGAGGACAGTGTATGTCCAGGTGTTCTTCCGCGTCATTGCTGAGGGTTCTCGGGTCCATTCGTGCATTGTGCTGAAAGCAACGAGTTTTGAGGTGAGCGATTGAATTCGCACTTATCGAAGTCGCGATTGCCCTACCAGTGACCCGGGACGATTGTTTATGAGGGACCGGCTGCCGTCTCATATTGCAAAGTGTACACGCCCCAAAAGCCCATCAACTGAGCGGTAGGCCAAGCGCGGCTTCGGGCCAAACGTTGTGTGGGGTGAAGCGCTGCTCCACGCCTGATTGGGACTGCAGCCCATCAGAGCGAAGTGGGCATAAACAATCGTCCTGTGTGAGTCAATACCCGACTAGAGATGGGTTAGTTCGGGGGTAGAGGCCGTGTGTCCATAACGCTACTCGTTTCTTATTTAGGGCTTTCAGCACAATGACCGAACCGGAAACCCGGAAACTGCGAACGGGAAACGCTGACCATGGGAAAACATAGATTGACAGTTTCTTCCAGAGCATTACCGGACCACGCGTTGGTCAGGATGCGAGACCGCTGCTGGAGACGCCAGCAGCGGAATGAGAACGGGCTGGAGCGGTGGAGGAGCCGCAGCTCCGGGAGGACTATTCGTCCTCCTCGGACGCAGAGTCACAGGTGGTAGTGACCGAACTGACTCCACAGGTCCCCCAACAGAGGAGGCGGCGGCACGGCCGACCCAGGGCCCACGAGGTCTCAACGGATAGGAGACCCCTGGCCGTTAAAGTCCCTGAGGACCTATATGGCCTTGCCCTGAGGAAACTGAGTTGGGAGTAAAGTAAGGATAGCTTTGCAATCAGTTTGCGCCCCAGTATGATGGTACATGGCTTCAAGTGTATAAATGTGTTTATAAGGCGAACAGACATTCCAGTGGATGTTGATTTCAGTGCCTTTAGCACGGCTATCGTTAGCGGAGAAACAAGTACGTAGGTAGGTAACAGACTATAGGGTTCGCAAGTCGCAAGTGTCTAAAACGTTCTTGATGGTTTAATATTGCTTACTGCCAAACATGCAAGCGTTGCAACATCGGCCAATCAAGTGGTCAGTTGCAAGGGTTCAGTGCATTAGCTGCTTAAGTTACCGTAACAGAAATATGATTAAATGTGTTGAATCATTTTGCCATTAATGATGTTGCTAATGAACCTAAGGAAAGTGGTGGCCTACTTGCTCCTGACCTTGTCCAAGGTACAGCACATTTATTTTACCAAATACCGTCTGTATACCTATGCCTTCCGGCGAAGTCAATGTCTTTTTTTTAGTCAGTCTAAATGGAGTGCCATGAATAAGAGTGAGCGCTGCCAGAAGCCCAATAACTGCATCCGAACGCTGAGCTGCCGAGACTAACTAGAACGCCAGGTAACGGTCATGAAAGTACAGCTCTATCGAAACAAGCTAATTTGAAAAACTAGACCAATTCTGCGGCAATGTCCATCCCTGGCCGTTACAAATGACGAGAATTGGGCAACGATGTTCTGAGCGAACTCAGCCTCCCGATATCATGACTCACAGCTGTCCGCGGTGTATGGAGCGTCGGCTCAAGTTGCAGACTACTTGCAGTGGCAGATAGCCAAGCGCCAAATGGTTGCAAAGACAGCCCAGGTAGCACAAAGTGCACACCTGCTGCTCGCTTCTTGGGACCCTACAGCAGTGAAACCCATCGGCGTTCACAGCGGTGGTCTCCGTCTTCAACATGGGTCGACTCCATTGCAGATAGGAGGAGCTCACGTCAGAGTGAGCTATCACTGTCTAGAAGGTCACCATGAGCGGGCTAAAAGGGTCACAAAGTCATGGCAACTGTCCAAGCACATGGTACTGGCACCTGCACACCGGCAGTCTTGTGTAGTCCAACAAATGGGACAGTCAATTACGCTCGGGACAGAGATGCTCGGCTGTCAATAAAATGGCATCAGTGATGGGACGTCACGGAGTCACCCAAAAATTATATAAGTTGTACAATGCTTAAGGACTAGAATCCAGTGAAACGTTGTTAACGTGACAAGGCAAGAAACCGATACTTTGTGTTCAGTTGTCCGAGTTTGGGATAAGGATGCGAATATACGGCAGAGCTGAGAGCGCTACTCGCACATTCAAAGGCACAAGAAGCCAGTACCTAAAATTAAGCAAAGTCATAACCAGTTATTACTGAGGCTCGACTGTTTGACGCCATTCCGCTCCTCTCACGACCAAGTTAAATCCTAGTCCAATTGGTTCCAAATGGCCATTTATTTTGTAAATGACGAGGACGTAACGCATGTCATGCAGTACCAAAGCGACAGCAACGCAGTAACGCAGTAAGAAATATTAAACCATAATTAAATGACTAGTGGAAGCAGTACCCGGGGCAGAGCTAAACTGTGTTTTGGATCTCCCAATTCAGTTGAAATATCAACATGTCCAGGAGTTGACCTGTGTTTTATGACCCACAGATGTCTACCCGGAGTTCGGAATCATTCTCTCATCTATAATCATCGGAGGGATGTGAGAAACTTTGTTCCTCCGACACGGCCAGACCGTGGCTGCACCGCCGGACCCGGCGGACCGCGCGGCGACCGCACCGCACCCCACCGGCTGATGGGCCCGGCGCGCCCTCTAATCTGCCGACGGCCGGGGGCGGAATGCGGCGGCGGCCCCGCGCACAAACAACCGCGGGGGAGGATGCGGCGTGGTGGGAACCGAGAGCCGGCGCAGGAGCGTGACCAGCAGCAGATCGACAGACCCGAGCTCCTCCGACGGCGCAGCGGACCACACCGGACCTCCTGACGCCGCCCCTGCGACATCCATCTCCGCCATCTACCTGGCCGACCGACTCCCACTGTTCGGCGCCGCCTGCCGCCGGAGGGCAACAAACAACCCCACCACGATTGGGGCAGGCCGGCGGCCGGCGAGGTCATTGCCACGGCGAGTCGGTGACCTCTTCTACTACGGTGTCCTGAGTTCTGTGGCTGTTCTGTTTTGCTCTGTTCTGTTCTGCTCTGTCCTGTTCTGCCCTGCCATGTTCTGTGCGCTCTGTCCTGCGGGACTAGCCGTGCGTGCCGCGCCCGAGGCAACTGCCAACCGCCGGAGGCGCGGTATATAAGCTGAGTCCCGCAGTGATCCCTCTCATCCATCCGTGCTTCTATCCTCAGGATACTGAAATCCTTCTCCTCCACGCCGCAACCCCCCTCCGGGCTGGACAGGCAACTTTATCTCATGCGGGCTGCTCCCTTGGAGCGGCACCGCTGCTCCTGAGGGAGCGCACCCCGTAGCCGGGTGCAGTGAGTGCCTTGGGGCTGAGTGGCCTGTCCTCTGGACGGGCTCAGCCCCGGCGACTCACTAGGGTGCCTGCCCAGACCAATGTCTCCCCCTAATTCCTATCATCCTTCCGGCTCTGCAATGGTCTTGTCGACCGAAAGGGCCTAACCCAACAAAACAAAACAAAGTGATCCCTCTCTCTCTTCGCTCTCCACTGGAGTCTTGGACTGCCCGTGCGCGACGTTGTGCATCCATACCTCCTACCCAATATCATGTAAGTAGAAGGGGGCGGCCCTTATTTGGCAGTGTATATAGCCATGATCAATGTAATAACAATGTGGGCATATGTAAATAATTACCTTGAAAACTTGCACAGTCTGTTGTGGGACAAATGGTGGGGGAGAGAATGAACGGCGAACTGAACTGAACGGCACGGAACTCGGCAAACGTAACATAGAGCGGCTCGGAAGCTCAAACAAACGCTACCTTTTAAACGTCACGGTTAACTTCGGCACGCCACGCTACCAATAGTAATCCCAACCGTAGCAATGATAGAAATAAGGAACGTAACAACTTATAGAGAGAAAAAATAGTTTCACAGTGGTGACAGCGGTGGGATTACAAAAACTGACTTTTATTTTAAGCACGCCAAAGGCGAGCTAAATTAATCTGTTGTCGGTTCCGCTCCAAACAGGGCGGCGAACCCAATGTTTTTTTTTATTGCAATATATTTCTTAAATTGTGATATTGTTTTGCCTTTAATATTAAATGTAAGTCATGTATGTAGGTATCGGGCCGTTCATGTTCGCAGTGGTTCATCTCCCCCGACCTGTCCCGGCCAGTGGGCCAGGCGGGCGGCTCGGCCCTCGCGGTCAGTCACCGCGGGGTGCCAGCGCCGGCTCGCGGCGGTCCCGCGGCAATTAGGCCCTGCCCTCCGCTCTGTCTGATTGGTGTAGGGACGGAGGATGGGCGTGGCCAAATTGAGTGTGGGGCTGAGGGGTGCCTCTGAGGACAGTGTATGTCCAGGTGTTCTTCCGCGTCATTGCTGAGGGTTCTCGGGTCCATTCGTGCATTGTGCTGAAAGCAACGAGTTTTGAGGTGAGCGATTGAATTCGCACTTATCGAAGTCGCGATTGCCCTACCAGTGACCCGGGACGATTGTTTATGAGGGACCGGCTGCCGTCTCATATTGCAAAGTGTACACGCCCCAAAAGCCCATCAACTGAGCGGTAGGCCAAGCGCGGCTTCGGGCCAAACGTTGTGTGGGGTGAAGCGCTGCTCCACGCCTGATTGGGACTGCAGCCCATCAGAGCGAAGTGGGCATAAACAATCGTCCTGTGTGAGTCAATACCCGACTAGAGATGGGTTAGTTCGGGGGTAGAGGCCGTGTGTCCATAACGCTACTCGTTTCTTATTTAGGGCTTTCAGCACAATGACCGAACCGGAAACCCGGAAACTGCGAACGGGAAACGCTGACCATGGGAAAACATAGATTGACAGTTTCTTCCAGAGCATTACCGGACCACGCGTTGGTCAGGATGCGAGACCGCTGCTGGAGACGCCAGCAGCGGAATGAGAACGGGCTGGAGCGGTGGAGGAGCCGCAGCTCCGGGAGGACTATTCGTCCTCCTCGGACGCAGAGTCACAGGTGGTAGTGACCGAACTGACTCCACAGGTCCCCCAACAGAGGAGGCGGCGGCACGGCCGACCCAGGGCCCACGAGGTCTCAACGGATAGGAGACCCCTGGCCGTTAAAGTCCCTGAGGACCTATATGGCCTTGCCCTGAGGAAACTGAGTTGGGAGTAAAGTAAGGATAGCTTTGCAATCAGTTTGCGCCCCAGTATGATGGTACATGGCTTCAAGTGTATAAATGTGTTTATAAGGCGAACAGACATTCCAGTGGATGTTGATTTCAGTGCCTTTAGCACGGCTATCGTTAGCGGAGAAACAAGTACGTAGGTAGGTAACAGACTATAGGGTTCGCAAGTCGCAAGTGTCTAAAACGTTCTTGATGGTTTAATATTGCTTACTGCCAAACATGCAAGCGTTGCAACATCGGCCAATCAAGTGGTCAGTTGCAAGGGTTCAGTGCATTAGCTGCTTAAGTTACCGTAACAGAAATATGATTAAATGTGTTGAATCATTTTGCCATTAATGATGTTGCTAATGAACCTAAGGAAAGTGGTGGCCTACTTGCTCCTGACCTTGTCCAAGGTACAGCACATTTATTTTACCAAATACCGTCTGTATACCTATGCCTTCCGGCGAAGTCAATGTCTTTTTTTTAGTCAGTCTAAATGGAGTGCCATGAATAAGAGTGAGCGCTGCCAGAAGCCCAATAACTGCATCCGAACGCTGAGCTGCCGAGACTAACTAGAACGCCAGGTAACGGTCATGAAAGTACAGCTCTATCGAAACAAGCTAATTTGAAAAACTAGACCAATTCTGCGGCAATGTCCATCCCTGGCCGTTACAAATGACGAGAATTGGGCAACGATGTTCTGAGCGAACTCAGCCTCCCGATATCATGACTCACAGCTGTCCGCGGTGTATGGAGCGTCGGCTCAAGTTGCAGACTACTTGCAGTGGCAGATAGCCAAGCGCCAAATGGTTGCAAAGACAGCCCAGGTAGCACAAAGTGCACACCTGCTGCTCGCTTCTTGGGACCCTACAGCAGTGAAACCCATCGGCGTTCACAGCGGTGGTCTCCGTCTTCAACATGGGTCGACTCCATTGCAGATAGGAGGAGCTCACGTCAGAGTGAGCTATCACTGTCTAGAAGGTCACCATGAGCGGGCTAAAAGGGTCACAAAGTCATGGCAACTGTCCAAGCACATGGTACTGGCACCTGCACACCGGCAGTCTTGTGTAGTCCAACAAATGGGACAGTCAATTACGCTCGGGACAGAGATGCTCGGCTGTCAATAAAATGGCATCAGTGATGGGACGTCACGGAGTCACCCAAAAATTATATAAGTTGTACAATGCTTAAGGACTAGAATCCAGTGAAACGTTGTTAACGTGACAAGGCAAGAAACCGATACTTTGTGTTCAGTTGTCCGAGTTTGGGATAAGGATGCGAATATACGGCAGAGCTGAGAGCGCTACTCGCACATTCAAAGGCACAAGAAGCCAGTACCTAAAATTAAGCAAAGTCATAACCAGTTATTACTGAGGCTCGACTGTTTGACGCCATTCCGCTCCTCTCACGACCAAGTTAAATCCTAGTCCAATTGGTTCCAAATGGCCATTTATTTTGTAAATGACGAGGACGTAACGCATGTCATGCAGTACCAAAGCGACAGCAACGCAGTAACGCAGTAAGAAATATTAAACCATAATTAAATGACTAGTGGAAGCAGTACCCGGGGCAGAGCTAAACTGTGTTTTGGATCTCCCAATTCAGTTGAAATATCAACATGTCCAGGAGTTGACCTGTGTTTTATGACCCACAGATGTCTACCCGGAGTTCGGAATCATTCTCTCATCTATAATCATCGGAGGGATGTGAGAAACTTTGTTCCTCCGACACGGCCAGACCGTGGCTGCACCGCCGGACCCGGCGGACCGCGCGGCGACCGCACCGCACCCCACCGGCTGATGGGCCCGGCGCGCCCTCTAATCTGCCGACGGCCGGGGGCGGAATGCGGCGGCGGCCGCGCACAAACAACCGCGGGGGAGGATGCGGCGTGGTGGGAACCGAGAGCCGGCGCAGGAGCGTGACCAGCAGCAGGTCGACAGACCCGAGCTCCTCCGACGGCGCAGCGGACCACACCGGACCTCCTGACGCCGCCCCTGCGACATCCATCTCCGCCATCTACCTGGCCGACCGACTCCCACTGTTCGGCGCCGCCTGCCGCCGGAGGGCAACAAACAACCCCACCACGATTGGGGCAGGCCGGCGGCCGGCGAGGTCATTGCCACGGCGAGTCGGTGACCTCTTCTACTACGGTGTCCTGAGTTCTGTGGCTGTTCTGTTTTGCTCTGTTCTGTTCTGCTCTGTCCTGTTCTGCCCTGCCATGTTCTGTGCGCTCTGTCCTGCGGGACTAGCCGTGCGTGCCGCGCCCGAGGCAACTGCCAACCGCCGGAGGCGCGGTATATAAGCTGAGTCCCGCAGTGATCCCTCTCTCTCTTCGCTCTCCACTGGAGTCTTGGACTGCCCGTGCGCGACGTTGTGCATCCATACCTCCTACCCAATATCATGTAAGTAGAAGGGGGCGGCCCTTATTTGGCAGTGTATATAGCCATGATCAATGTAATAACAATGTGGGCATATGTAAATAATTACCTTGAAAACTTGCACAGTCTGTTGTGGGACAAATGGTGGGGGAGAGAATGAACGGCGAACTGAACTGAACGGCACGGAACTCGGCAAACGTAACATAGAGCGGCTCGGAAGCTCAAACAAACGCTACCTTTTAAACGTCACGGTTAACTTCGGCACGCCACGCTACCAATAGTAATCCCAACCGTAGCAATGATAGAAATAAGGAACGTAACAACTTATAGAGAGAAAAAATAGTTTCACAGCACCACCCAATCACCAACGGTCCATAGTCATCGCTCACATATTTTAAACATAAAATACATTATCTAGGCATAAATGCATCATAACCGATGCAGAATCTTTAAACAAGCCTGTCCACATCAAGGCATCAAGCTCCACAGGATGAAGATTTATCCCTCACAAATTACTTCACTCTGCGGACGCTATTACCCTTGGGCACAATCAGTGTCCCTTCACAACCGCCACACATCAACACACACGCACACAGGCCATACAACCAGTCAGGTTCGATAGATATCGGTGCAGTGCCCCCACACAAACTCCATTGAAACACACACTTTCATCGAGCGTGTCAGGTAGCATCCCGCTGTGAAGTCTACGACACATCACAGCGAAACGATCCGCAGACGCCGGGTCCCCTAGCAAACAGGGAAGTCTATGGGACGCGACACAACGGCGGAATCGATCCAATCAGCGTCTCAATCGAACAATGTATTGCGTTAGACCTGGCAGGCGCAGTAACAGCCAACGCCACACAGATCAAAACACCATGTTAAAATATATCGTCAGGCGAACATTCAGTGGCAAGTTACGACAATGTGTCATTGAGTTTCAGTAAGCTACGATTATCTTTGACATATCATTGTACCGTAATTGGTTGACGGTTGTCAGTAATTCTTCTGCCTTCGGAACAGACACATCTAGATAAGTTGAATATTAGATGTTCACTACATATACCGCTAAAAAGGTATGGGAGTGGTGTTGTCAGGGCAATAAAATAGTGTGACCATTAATATCCAAGTGGATATTGCAAATGGCTAGGGAGCTATCAGATGATAAATATCCCGGCATCGCATATAAGCATGTAATCGGTATCACATGAGACGCTTATCGTCCGTGGACGATATAAAATGTTTCTAGATGTTAACTCGACCACAGTGGGCATCTGCCGTTACTACAAGCGACGTCCTTCTAGTTTCCTCAGGTCACCAAGGCTCACTCCGTCTGCTGAGCTCAGCCAATCATCAGGTTCAGTCAGCTTAGATTAACTACGCTCGCTCCCAAGCGTGTGACTTCACTGTGTATCAATACACGGAACGTTCCATCACTCACAGCCCGCCACTCTTGGCGCCGCAGCTCCCTTGTCTAGCTCCACGCTAAGACATGAATACGACGAAGATGAGGAAGAAGAAAATGAGCACGCCGAACACCTTGATCATGAGCCAGCGGTTGTTGGTCACCGACTGGAAGTATTTGAGGATCTCCGTGTGGGCAGCCTCGACGTTCATTGAAGTGTCTTCGACGTTAGCATCGATCCTGCGATAGAGGAAAATGATTACCATAGTAGCAAGAGTTGATTGATGAATTATTTAATCGTGGGACCTTGTGGAACCACAAGGACTCATCAGACCTCACCTCGAAAGCAGACAGAACGTCGGAACCAGGACCGATTCGAACTGGACAGCACTGATTTATCAATCGTTTACAAAATCAGTCGGAAACAGGTCTAATTCCTTCCTACCAAAAAACATCGAGGATACACTTACCCCACTGCCATTGGCACGGGCATCATTGGTGAGGATGGTGGTAAAAACATTTGGATTTCCTGGATAGGACACAAATATGGAATTTTCGTAAGTGCAGAGAAGCCGAAGTTTTACCAAGCTCATGGCTAGTGCGTAGCTAGTAATCACAGCTCCAAAGGCACATAACGATGCAAGTCGAAACTTTTGTTACAGAAACGATCATTACGAAAAATGCAAATGCAGTACAATTACAAATTAAAGAAAATGAAAGGAATGCAGCTGTAAGAAGGCTTCGTAAATCATAGGAACGCATTCACACAGCAATAATGTAATTCATAGGTGGCGCTGCGCTCTCATTTAATCCCATCCCAACCGACCCAGAGCAAACCGATATTGCCTACCCAAGGCATGAGCGACACGCCTAACGGGGTAGCCGACCAGCCCTAATTCGTAACCGGCATCAGAGCGGTCACTTTCATTGCAGCCGCTAATGGAACGGCGCATTTGGCGAGAGAGGTTGGTGAAAGGAAGGAAGGTAGAAGGAACAGTGCATTCAACGAGAGGTCGGTGGAAGGCTCAAGCTACTGCAGCTTGACAGAGGCAGGACAATAAACACCAGCAATACTCGGTCACTGTGTCAATAAATAACTTAAACCATAGAGCAATAACATCAAAATACAAAATAACATGTAATTCTGTGAGCCTCCATCAAAACGCGTGCATTTCAGAATACAGGTGCGGGCGATACTACCCTTGCCTCAGCTCAGCGAATGCTAATGCAAAAATATGAATATTTATGGCACTTTTTCACTGTGTTGAATTTCTTAATTCAACACACCATTTTTCATAGATGCAACACATCATCTGGACTATGGAGGAGATGCATGAATGGCTGCCGGCAAACGGTCCCAGAATTCCAAGCAATCAATGCTGCTGCAATGTTTTTAAAGGAAACGCTAAACAGAGCCTCGCTAAGTCAGAGATGTCATGCCTAGGTATACGCTAGTCTGAAAGCCATCAAACCTTTCATACAATTGACTGTATTGTGAGCATCGACTATCGAGGATCTTCCGTTCTGTCACAGGTATACCAACGGAATATGGAAGGGCTTGGAAGCGAAGCAATGAAGGATAAGCACCTCAAAATACTGAAAACTGTTACTGTGTGCGGCCGTTGTAGCGGCGACCGTAAGAACTAAGAACAGCACACCCTCAGCACGGGCAGCATGACGTGCGCCTGCTGAATCGGCCCTCGAGCCGACCCGCAAGAGTTAGTCAGAGAGAAGGCCTGTCTGCACCTCAGTGGCGGGGTATCTCAAGACTGACCTCTGGACCATTTCCTCCTGTTCTTTGACCATGTGCGCCAGCTGCTGGAAGATGGCGCCCAGCTCCACCACCGTCGACTCGATGTTCTTCATAGTCTCCGAGCGCGCCTGGTAGTGCGTGTCCTGAAATCAGACAACGTGTCAGTGCGTGCCCTGAGATCGGACAAAGGATACAATGAGTGCTCGGAAATTAGGCAGCAGCGTCACTAGTCAGCCATGGATGTTCTGAAACCGGACGGGTCCCATCATCTACAGTCGTGCAAGATTCCGGCGGCGCACGGGCGCGTCCAGGCAGTCTCGGGGCGGCCCGCCCCGGTGCAGGCACACTGACCTTAACAAAACACCACACCTATTATTAAACCCGACTCCCCCCACACCTCTCACTAACCGCGCACCTCCTGTTCAATGAGCATTATCTACTGCTGTCAGCACCTAAAACTATCACACATCCATACCCTACCAAGGCACACCCCTCCCACAAACCACTCACCTCCTGTTCAATGAGCATCATCTGCTGCTGCTGCGAGGCGGCCCCCGCGCCCGCTCCGGCCGCCGGCCGCCTCTCACGAACGCCATCCATGTCCAGGGCGACGTCCGCTCGGGCCGCGCTGGCAGCCTCGTCGGCCAGCAGCACGGAGCCCTGGTGGAAGCCCTCGGTGGCCGAGGGAGGCAGGTTGGACGATACGCCGCCCCGAGAGAACTGGTCCCGGCGGGACTTCTGCTGACGCAGGTTCTGAGGGAGGGGACGGGGAGGGGTTAGTCAGAACGGACGCAGTTTAGTGCAGACTGCAGAGCGGATGTCGAGTGTCGGTGTTTGGGTGGTCAAGTGCGTAGCGTGCTAAGCCGTAGCGCCCTAAGCAAATAAAAAATGTATGCTTGAATGCTATATGCTCCTAAAAATGCACACACGCCGACAATCGTTTTTGACTCATCGCTAAATGGTTGCAGTCAGAAGTTTACATTCCAATTAGATACCACGTCTTAGCAGACTCAGTCTCCCCCTCCCTCCCCTCCCTCACACACAAACCAGCGGTCCCCGCCAGCTGCTCTCACCTCAGTCCTGACGTCGAGCACCTGTTTGAACTGTGACGACATGTTGGCCAACTTCTGCTGCAGCGTCACCACCACGTTGTTGGAGAAGTTGTGCACGTTGCCGCCGCCCGCCTCGCCGCCCCGCTGCCGGCTCAGCTGCTGCAGCTGCAGGATCTGCTTGTTGAGGCTACCCATGTCGTGTTTGATGATTTGAGTCAGTTCCTCGATCTCCAGAGGCCGATCGTCGAAGATGGACTTGCGTTTAGCCACTGTGAGGGGAGCGACGCGGAGTTAATTCAACTACTCATACAAGGGTGGACGGTGAAACGTCAATATCGTGGTGGTTTAAGGGACCCAGTCAAAAGGTCTTGGGGGTAATATTTATGTCGAATCATAGAATAGCATGTTAAATTAGACACCTGAGAAATAAACCATAAGTGAATATGATATGCTGTTGTCTGTTGTCTAATAACGAAACACAATAGGTCCAATAGGTGATTAATTAATTAATTGATTCATTCATTCATTCATTTATCATTCACTCATTCATTCTTTCATTTATCATTCATTCATTCATTCCTTCATTTATCATTCATTCATTCGTTTATTTATTATAGTATCGCCAATTCGTTCGCTAATTTAGCAAGATTCCCTTGATAAGACACAATCGAGCATTACCCAGGCCCGACCACTGTCTCATGGCCCACTTACAGTGTGTCAGCTTCTCCAGCTTGGCGTACGTGTTGGAGATGTCCTTTCCGATCAGCTTGGCGATCCGCATGAACTCTGCGTACCTCTGTACGGCGCGCGGCCGAGGGGACGGAGGCGCCTGCGCCAGACCTCCATTGAGCTGGCGACTCTGCAGCGAGCGGAGCACAGCCGAGAACTCCCCGGTCCGGTCCTTGAAGGCCATCGCGAGTGGATGTCCTGCAGAGCAAAGAGGATAGAAGGGGTGGAGAGAGTGGGGGGGGGGTTGAAAATGGAGGGTGGAGCAGCTCACAGAGGCAGACACTGGATGGCTCCAGGCGAGTTGACAGGCACCTTATGACTGTAGATTATGATTCTAAATACGTAGCTGGGCTGGACCTCTTTCACCTGTAAACAGAGGAAAGATGGCTTTGAGGGAGGTGCACAAAATGATGCCTAAAGCAAGGCAAGCTTAAAACCATTATAATGCATTGTGGCATATTATGAATTAACAATGAAAATGCCAGCTCATTAAAGTTCATCAGTAGTTTAGCATGATGAATGAAATGAAGAAAAACTGGCAGTGGTCATGCAAAAAGGTCATTTTGTAATGTGAAGCAATTTAATGTAATGTGAAGCATTTTGTAATGTGAATATTGTTCTAGGAGGTGTGTAGCATATCAGTGCCCAGGAATGATTAGTACATAAACTTGAAATGGGATGCATAAAATCGACAGCATGTCTGATATCATGTCATTAGGCACTAGGCAGTGGCCTGTCAGTGCTCTGATAACCGAATCATTTGAGCAGTGACTGCACAAATTGGACTGTTATCTATTGAAGGACATTTTGCCAGAGCAGATCTCACATAACACAACATTGAACAATATTTAATGAGGCCTCTTTTAATCACTCCAGACTGTAAATTCACTAAGTTTTAGTGATCCACTGCAAAGGGCAATCCATGTTAGTCTGACATTTGGTCAGTCTGACTTGAATCCTCCAATAAGACAGTGATTCTTCTCTAAGTGTTAGTGGCAAGCTCTGACAGTTAAAAACTGTGGAGTGGAATAGCCTCACAAGTCACATCAGAAGTTGGTCATCTTGGTTTGGTCACAGCTATGAGCTATCCAAAGCAAACTGATTGCATAATGCAATTGGGTAACGGTAGCGCAGGCGTCACCGATAGCTTCGGCGGCGTAAACAGTCAAGGTAGGTGTATTGTAAGTATATTGACATAGATATGGTAGCACTGTTAAATTATATGACGTCATTGGAGTATGAAAAAGTCTCTAGAACGGGTCAGGGAGGACAAAATGGGACTCGGCCGGTTCCAGCGGGACATATTGGGACTCAGCCGACTACCGCGGGACATAGTGGGACTCAGCCGGTTCCAGCGGGACACAATAGGATTCGGCCGGTCACAGCGGGACACAATGGGACTCGGCCGGTCCCAGCGGGACACAATGGGACTCGGCCGGTCCCAGCGGGACACAATGGGACTCGGCCGGTCCCAGCAGGACACAATGAGACTCGGCTTGTCACAGCGGGACACAATGGGACTCGGCCGGTGCGGGACATATTGGGACTCAGCCGACTACCGCGGGACATAGTGGGACTCGGCCGGTCCCAGCGGGACACAATGGGATTCGGCCGGTCACAGCGGGACATAATGGGATTCGGCCGGTCCCAGCGGGACATATTGGGACTCAGCTGACTACCGCGGGACATAGTGGGACTCGGCCGGTCCCAGCGGGACATAGTGGGATTCGGCCGGTCCCAGCGGGACACAATGGGACTCGGCCGGTTACAGCGGAACAAAGCGGGACTCAGCTTACTACAGCGAGACATAGTGGGATTCAGCCGGTCCCACAATAGGAATGGGACTGGCCGAGTCCCAGTCCGAATCCCACTATATCCCGCTGTAGTCGGCTGAGTCCCACTTTGTCCTGCTGGGACCGGCCGAGTCCCACTATGTCCCGCGGTACGGTTAGCTGAGTCCCAATATGTCCCGCTGGGACCGGCAGAGTCCCATTGTGTCCCGCTGTGACCGGCCGAATCCCATTGTGTCCCGCTGGGACCGGCCGAGTCCCGCTATGTCCCGCGAAGGTCGGCTGAGTCCCAATATGTCCCGCGGTAGTCGGCTGAGTCCCACTTTGTTCCGCTGGGACCGGCCGAGTTCCATTGTGTCCCGCTGTGACCGGCCGAATCCCATTGTGTCCCGCTGGGACCGGCCGAGTCCCACTATGTCCCGCGGTAGTCGGCTGAGTCCCAATATGTCCCGCTGGGACCGGTCGAGTCCCATTGTGTCCCGCTGTGACAAGCCGAGTCTCATTGTGTCCTGCTGGGACCGGCCGAGTCCCATTGTGTCCCGCTGTGACCGGCCGAATCCCATTGTGTCCCGCTGGGACCGGCCGAATCCCATTGTGTCCCGCTGGGACCGGCCGAGTCCCATTGTGTCCCGCTGTGACAAGCCGAGTCTCATTGTGTCCTGCTGGGACCGGCCGAGTCCCATTGTGTCCGGCTGGGACCGGCCGAATAGAATCCCATTGTGTCCCGCTGGGACTGGCCGAGTCCCACTATGTCCCGCGGTAGTCGGCTGAGTCCCAATATGTCCAGCTGGGACCGGTCGAGTCCCATTGTGTCCCGCTGTGACAAGCCGAGTCTCATTGTGTCCTGCTGGGACCGGCCGAGTCCCAATGTGTCCCGCTGGGACCGGCTGAATCCCATTGTGTCCCGCTGGGACCGGCCGAGTCCCACTATGTCCCGCGGTAGTCGGCTGAGTCTCAATATGTCCAGCTGGAACCGGCCGAGTCCCATTTTGTCCTCCCTGACACGTTCTAGAGACTTTTTCATACTCCAATGACGTCATATAATTTAACATTGCTACCATATCTATGTCAATATACTTACAATACACCTACCTTGACTGTTTACGCCGCCGAAGCTATCGGTGACGCCTGCGCTACCGTTACCTGCAATTGCATATGTCAAGAGATATCATACAGCTGATACCTAGGTACCTACTGTATAAAGTTATTTTGTATTCAGATGTTAAGGCTACTAAAATTGTTAAAACTGATCTAATTATGAGCTTAAGCAAAACTCAATATACTGTTATGCAGTTGGTATGGAATAATGAAAAATGAAGCAATGGCTGAAGCTTGCAAAATGAAATGGTTAATTCCTAATATAAGTTGCATTTGTGACTGCAGTTGCAGGTGCTAATTTCAGTTTATTTGGTGTCTACTTGTTTCATCATCACACAACCTTACTGGAAAACTTTCTTTTATATGGGTTCTTATGGCTTTTCATTTCCTTTACCCTCCATCTTTTCAAAAGATATGTAGGTAATTGAACAGTGAACACCTCAGCATTGCAGCATTGCCAATAATTTTCAGGTTAACTGACCCAAGGCCAATTTTACTAACAAAACAACCGCTGGCTGCCAACAATTCAATATTATTAAGTCTCCCCCAAATGAAACATGGGGCCTGGAAAAAAGATGATGCGTAATGTCATAAAAACATATCAGTTGGACTTAGTATTATGAATTCTCATCAGTGATCAGTATCTATTTCTTCTGCATGGATGGCAAAATTTGGGGTGCCATTAGGCAGAAATTAGCTTTGGCCAGAGATTTGGCTGTTGCTAATACTTGTCTCTGATTCATATTGGTTTACCCACAGGATCCATCAAAGACCCTTCAGCAGGCTGAGACAGCAACAACAGCATTAGAGCTTAGCACCCTTATTTAAAAAAGCCTTTACTTAGGTTTATGAATTGTTTAAGCATTTGATGAAAACTAACAGCTATTTCTTTTTTGAGCAGACCAAGGCCTGATACTAGGCATCCCATATGTTGACCCACAATGGCCATGGTGCAAACACTTTATGGGTACTCGAGGGTAATAAAAGAAAGCCTGGCACTTCATATTTCTTAAAATACTGTGGTGAAAGAGCAAAAATAAAAGTATACCCCTGTAATTGTGAAAAATGCAGATAATTAAATAAACAAAACACTTTCGCTTTGGACGCCGGTGAAAACAGGGCGCCGGAGGGCATATTAGTCACGTGACATTTGGAACTTCTCTCGCTCCAAGGGCCTTCTATATGCCTAACGTCACGTGTAAATTTCACGAACCTTGATCAAATCGCCCCAGGCGCCCTGTTTTCACCGTCGTCCTTCGCTTTCCCTAAGGAAGCAAACATAAATCGCGCCACATTCGGCGCAAATACACCAACTCACAGCGCTACCATATGAAGGGAATTTGCTACCACATCAAGCTTTTATTTCTGATAGTTTTTTCTCGCTTCAACACAATACATGAACGTTTAAGTTTTTACGTCAGACAATTTACATTGCACATAGCATTGCGTCAGATAGATGAAGGCTTGTAGCCCGGAAAGCATATAACTTTTGGCATTGTTTTTACATTTTCGAGGAAAAGGCCTCAATGTTTCTTTACGTATTTATTCTCGCTATGTCCCTCGCTAAAACACTTCACACCATTAATTTCATCTACCCAAACAGTTAAATGAGGTAAACTATCGAAATGAAAAATGAAATATTCCTTTATTATCGTTACATCATAAATAAGCCTTTCGATGTTCACCATCATGTCCCGCATCAGGTGTTAAGTGCGTTCGGACGTGCCCTTTTCACGTGTGGCAATTTCCAATAAATTCCACGCCTGGAAATTCCTCACAAAAAACGGCCATTCGCGCAAGCCCGTTTCGTGGGATCCCGCGCGATTCGTCACGTTTCGCGATGCCCGAACGCCTGCTGCTGTTCCCGTGAGAAATTCCTCGGCTGGAAATTCCACGCGAAAAGCGGCACCCCGAAGGCAGGCAAGCGACGATATAGGCTACGCACAGGCGACAGCAACAAGACTATACCTAAAGCATCTCCCCTTGAACTCTTTATAGTTGAAAAAAAAAACTAAGAAATGAATTTCTTCGTCTACTGGTCAATTGGCTCGGTATCATCCATTCCATTTTCCACGGACCCCCTGCTTAGCTACAGTCATTCGAATTATAACGCTCTTACGGCCATTTATTTACTCATCAATAACACAAACGGTGAACACGAGCTGAATTAAAAGTGCAGGGCACGACAGGCTCGGACACAGCTCGGTCGGTGAAGGCGGCGGCGGCAGCACCGCACCCGGCCAGCGCGCGAGGCGCCACAAAACCCACCACACCCAGCTCCGGCACAACTAAACTAGACTAGCGTCACGCAGGCGCCTCCGCAGGCCGCTGCAGTTCCGAGACGAGCCCCCAGACGGCGCTGGCGGCTCTGCGGAAACTGTACTCAGCACGCAGCGTACAGCGCCGGTCTGACCGGCGCCTTACAAACGCCGCGACGTCGATACGAACATTCGTGTGTTTACGCCAAAACAAGGCGGTTCCGCCAAAACATAACCGAGAATCGGTCTCACGTGCAGGTACTTGTACGGGCTTCTCCAAGCCGTGTACGATTCGCTAAATCCAGCCGGATGGGCACAGAAAAGACGCAATCTTCCCAGGCCCACTGCTGCGAATATTTACCAGTGACAAACCATACCTCTAACACATAGTGAGAGCAAACGTCTGTAAAGAAACCATCCATATACACAGATCATACATCAGCTGATGCAGCGCAGACTTTACCACACACATCATCACAAACAAAAGCAAAAGCTTGGAATGTTATCGGTCTACACTCACACAAACGAACCACCGATCACGGGTGAATATTTGGCCTCCTGAACTTTGCCGGCACATCGCAGCGACACTAGCGCCACCTGCAAAACATTGCCACCAACAGCAGCGCCATCTCTGGCAAAATAAATAAAACACTCAATGGCGAGCACAACATCACAATCCAACACATCCTCTCACGCCGGGCGCGCTCCATCGATGGCATCGTCAGTCACAGCGCGCCGCTAGATCTCGGTCCCCTCCGAGGACTCGGGGATCTTCCGCATGTGCTCGATGGGCAGCGAGGCGGGTCCACCGCCGTTGATGGCTACCGGCGCCGAGCGCGGTCCGGCCAGCTGGTAAAACACGCCGTCCCGATCAGCATCCCGGTCGGCCTCCTCAGAATCCGAGCTCTCCGAGCCGCCGTGACTGGCGCCGCTGGCGGAGGGCGGAGAGCGCGACACTCCGCGCCCGCCGAGTCGCAGAGAGTCGAGAGAGTCGCCGGCCTCGTCCGGCTCTGCCGACGAGCCGCGACCCGACGACTCCAGGTCGAGCACCCAGCTGATGGAGTCGCTCTTCTCGACGATGGCGGTGACTTGGGGCGGGGAGCCGTCGTCCGGTTCCGAGCGGCGGGAGCGCCGCCGTACCGGGTCGCTCTTCAGCGGTGAGCGCGGGCTCACTCTGCGAGACAGACGGATACGCACAGTCAGGGACGCGTCATTCAACTCCACGCAGTTTTAACACGTAGGTAAAAAAACTAACTGCAATCAATGAGTACTTATGGACATCATAAGGCAATCAGCAGTAATTCCTGAGTAAAAGCAAATAGGTAACTTATCTAGCCTTCATTATCCACCGATGGGAAAAACATAACTTCTTATTCAAATAGCATTATAGCATTACTCGGTTAGAGTCGGTTAAAGGCTATTACCAAAATAAATACAGACAAGTGCACCATGCACGTAGCCCATCAGATCAGCAATTCAAGTCAATTAATTTCGGCTTGTCCCGTTCTATATTGTTATCTCCGTCATGCTCCGGGCACCACACCAAACTCCGGGGGTCTCGGGCCGGCACTGGTGTAGCGCGCTGTGCCAGGCTGTGCTGCACGCTGTGGACGGACAGTCACCCCCTCCAGCGGTGCCCCAGCGGCGGTGCCATGCTCTCATTACCTGGTGATGTGAGGTGACTCGCTGTACGCACGCGCAATGAACGTCGGTGTGCGCGCGGACCGGAAACTGGCAGAGCGAGAGAGCACGCCTGGGGAGAGAGGGCGGCGCCGGCGGCAGAGCGGTCAGCGCGCGCAGCGAGAGCGGCCAGCCATGCCCCAGCCGAGGTCAGCGAGGAAGGACGACCAGCACGACACAACACTGTACACTAACTCGGGCCCCGCTATGGGTGTGGTGTGGCAACGAAAACCCCCAAACGGAACAAAATGCCCATACAGTTTATGGGGAAAATAATAAGCGAGAGACAAAAATACACGGTTTAGCTGATGCGGTTCGTACAGTTGACGGAAGGTGACAATTGGTTTCAACTATCTCGGTGCCTCTTTTTGAAAATGTGATCCTTAGAACAACTCTTATTGAACAAGGACGACATTACAGCTCACAGCGCTAAGCAAGCTCTTGCCAATACAGGAAGCCACTGAACTTCAACAATGTACAAGATATCTGTGAGTCGACGACTCTGTGCTATGCATTGTGCGATCTCCAACACTATGCCACCTACCGCTCACTGGAAGCGTCCAAGCATGCGACGCCATCCGAAGCCCCCAGCAACTGCCCTCGCCACTCCTCCCATGCACCAGCCACCCTGGTGACCCGCCGTGACCCCGTGTGACCTGTGACCCGTCGTCTCACCTGGGGTGCTCTGCTGCATCAGCTCCGACTGACTATGGTTGCGCAGCTTGTACTGCAGCTGCTCGTTCTCCATGGAGAGCCGCTTGTTGGCCTTGGACTCCCTGTCCTGGTACTCCTGCAGTCGGCGGTTCTCCTCCGACAGTTGCCTAAGGAGACACACACCAGACGGTTAGTGACAATGGAAGAGGATGGATCAGTGCTCCACACTGACACACGTTGCAAGTAAGGTAGATTGTCTGGTCCGGTCGGAACGGTCGGGTAGGGTGGAGTCAGACTTCAGAGCGGTGTACCGTGTAACGTGATGTGACGAAACAACTGGCAAGTATTTACTCAATTGTTACAGATAACTGTGAGCCCAATTAGCGTACGAAAACCAGCTACACTTGATTATGCTACGCAGCATAGATCAGAAACACTTCCGTAACAAAAAACACATTCAAACCAACCATTCTAATATGAGGCGTCTCCAATTCCTCAACCGTCTACGGTTCACCGAGACCTGTCCATTCCTTCTCAGCCCAGCAGCCTCCCGTCTCCAAAATGCAGCAACAGAACACCGACCTGTGGACGAGCTCGCGCTGCCGCAGCTGTGCCTCGAGGTCCTCGGCCTTGGCCCGGTGTTTGTCACAGCGCTCCTCCAGCCTCGGCACCTTCTCCCTCAGTCGCGCCAGCTCCTGCTCGTCCTGACGCAGCTTGGCGATCTCCTCACTCTTCAGTTCCAGCACCGCGTTCAGCGACTTGATGTCCTCCTCCTGCTTCTTGATCCGAGCGGATAGAACCTGTAGAATACAGGGAGAGGGGAGGGATGAAACGAGGAAAACACTTCGAGAAGCATGGCTGAGCATGACAGACAATCAAGCAAAATAAAAATAAGAGCAAAAGAATACAAAAACCAGAAGTAAGCAGATGAAAAATTCGAAAGTAGCATTTTGTGAAGTGCCAAGAGATCGTTGGTCAGCAGTCCGCACCTGTATTTTGGTGTTGGAGCTCTGCCCGATGGCGGCCTTGAGCTCGCACTCCCGGCGACTGAGCTCGCTGTTGGCCTCCTCCAGCTGGGAGATCTGCTGTCGCAGCTGGTCAGCCTCGGCCTGCGAGCGGCGCTGGCTCTCTGCCAGCTCGCGCTCCCACTGGGCCGTCACCGAGGCCAGCGTCTCCTGGTGCTGCCGGCTCAGCTCGCGCACGTCCTGGTCGCGCGCCTCCTGCTGCCGCACCAGGTCCTGTTCGAGCAGCTGGCGCTCCTGGTGCCAGGCCGAGCGCACCTCCTCCAGTTTCTGTTTGCCGGAGTCGAGCTCCTCCTGGTGGGTGGCGCTGAGCGCGCGCAGCTCGGCGCCAACCTCCTCCTCGCGCTGGAGTCGCGCTCGCTCCCGGTCCTCGATACTCTCCTCGAGTCGCCGCTGGGTGGCAGCAGCCTCGTCTGAAAAGGTGACGCCACCAGCGTCAAAACCGTGCTCGAAGGCAGTAAGCTGAGGCTCGGTACTAGTGATGTCAATTACGGAAAATCGTGATACCGATACCAAACCAAATACCAACAATATCCATTGAAAAATACCGAAACCAAACCGACTTGGGAATATGAGGAAAATACCAACTTTTTACCAAATTCTCAGCCTATTTTACATTAGTGAGGATTCATAATACCAACAAAATACCAAATGCACTCGCCTTGAAATACCAAATACCAAGTTGGTATCGGTTTGGTATCGGTATAGGTACCAAAAAGTTGGTATCCGATTGACATCTCTACTCGGTACCTCAGTTTAACCATGTTAACTATATCATCCCAGCAGCGATTGCATAGAACGAGAATTTGTCGTATAATGAAATACTGGATTAGAAAGAGCCTCTTTCAACTGAATACTTATCATATCAGACCATCCTGGGATGCTTTCAAAACCACGAAGACGACGTGCAATGTGCATAGCAAATGAGGCCTGTCTGGCAAATGACATATGAGCCCCAAACAAATCGTCTCTATCGATGACCTTCTGCACACAAGCCATGTGGGGTGGTTCCTAGACGTAAATACAAACTGTGAGGCTACTAATGACTGCTCCAACCATTGACCTATCATTAAATTAATAAGCAAACGATACAAGAGGTCATGAAAGTGCGACGTAAAACGCCCCAGCTGATTGAAACTGGGAATGGTTCGGTAGCTATAAAATATTTTACAAAAAAAAAGAAGAAACGAAGCAAAGGGGTGCAGCTATCAATCATTTGGAATCTGTCACTTCTTACACGCCTCGTTCTCCACCCTTCAGGCGAGACGATATCTATCATCCCAGGCCACACTCTTACTTACTCATCCCCATATAGCATTACTAAATACCCATGCATCCATTTCTTTCCCCTCATGAGCCTCACCGAGCGCCAGTTGCAGTTCCGTGGCCCGGGACTGGAGAGCCTTCACCTCGTCAGTCAGCTGGAACGGGTTGTACTGAAACAGAGCAAAGGGGAAACGTCAACATATACGTCGGGTAAACGTCAACAGATCAACGGGTAAACGTTAACAGACAGGTCGGAGAAAGGGCACAGGTCAACCAACAGACAGGCTGGGGAGAGGGCATATACAGGTCAGTCAGCTGGAACGGGTTGTACTGAAACAGACCACCGGGTGAACGTAACAGACAGGTAAGGGACAGGTCAACAGACAGGTCGGGGAGAGGGAACAGGTCAATATACGGGGAGGGCAGAGGTCGGCATACTGTCATCGGTCGAGGAAAGGGTATAGGTCAATGCACGGTTATCAGTCAGACGGCCCAACCGGTCATTGGCGCGGTAAGTGAAGAGATGCCGTAACGGTAAGAATAAACAATCAGATAACACTAGCGAAATGACATTCGGTACGATGTCAAATTTAAGAGCTACTTAATAAGGAATACAGCTGCCTCGAATCAAGTAACTTTTACGACTTATGCATTATTATGGTATGGTGCACATAACCGGAGCTTAAACATGCTCCAGGCTCTCATGTGATTACGCTACTGAGTCCGTTGCGAGACCGGCATCATTGTCCGTGTACCGTCACAGGCGTAACAATATCACCGTCACAGCCGGCGCCGAGGGGCAGACGCAACACTAACAAACAGCGCTAACAGCGGCGACTGAACAGACGCGCTCACCGGACGTCACACTGGGTCCACCGTCACCCCGCGTGGACCGGACGGCCCTGAGCTGACCTTCCATCAGCGCTTTCCTCCGACAGAGATCGACACAACGTAACAACCACGGCGACACAGTATCGCTCAGACGGAACGGAGATAGACGCAACAACAGAGACGTTCCGGAGACAAGACAAAACAAGACAAACTACAAGACAAAGCAGGATAGCATACGCCAGCGAGCCGCATCGGAACACATCCATCGCTTATACTCGTATGCACACCTAAAAACCGGACATTCCACCCGCAAATACATCCCCGAAAGATGTTATGTTTTTTTCCAAAGGATAAAATCGAACTAAGGATTAGATTTAAGTCATCAATGGCACATCGGAACACATGTATCGCTTATATGCACACCTCAAAACCGGACATTCCACCCGCAAATACATCCCCGAAAGATCACATTTTTTCAAAGGATAAAATCGAACTAAGGATTTGATTGAAGTCGTCCACGGGTACCGGTCTGCGTCGTGATAGGATGAGGAGCCTCCACCACTCCCGCACGTCTAGCTGCGGTCGTTTAGAGCGGCTTAACGGACCCTCCCGACCGCCGTGTCCGGTTGTCCTGTGATAGCGGCGCGGACAGCGGACAGCGGACAACTGACTGACAGCGGACAGCCGGCAGTGGTGACAGCTGACGTGGCTGAATTTAGGGACGTCGTTGGCTGTGGATTGGCCATGTGTTTGACTGTATGGTTAGATCGTAGCTGCATTTCAGACTAACGTCCAACATGGACATGACCAGTCTCGTATTGGACACCGTTCAACTTCTGGTTCGTGGTTGGTCCGGTGTCTGGTCCGGGCCGGTCTGGGGTGGTCTGGTCCAGGCAGATTGTCTGATCGTCCAGAACCGGCTCGACTCCGGACTCGACTCCCGACTCGAGTCAGATCCGGTGATACCATCTTACATACGGCGCGGCGGCGACTCGACGGGACCGACTCGGTTAGTGGGGCCACTCGAGTAGAGTTCCGACAGGCGCGGCGCGGCCGATTCCACGGTCCGTCTCTGCGGGATCTCTGTTGACACATGTCTCTAGAACCATGAACTCGTCTCTCAGCAGTGGCTTGTCCCTCGAGTTCAGCTCTCAGGAGAGTCATGTCTTCGAGACAAACATTCAGTTCATGTTCTCAACACTTGCTCGCCCCACTGCTCCTCGCAATGAAATACAGCTTCTGATTTGCTCGACACATTGAGAAAGGAAACTCCGTTCCCTGCAATCGTCACGCCCGACTTCCCGCTTAGACAGCTCTGTCACATTTCACGCGGTTACATAATAATCAAGACTACCATCTCCCGCCGGGTCACGAAACACTCACAAGAATCACACCCATGAGCTCGTGACCCCACCGGTCACCGACGACTGACCAGCGCGCTGCCGGTGTGGGAGCGCTGGCACCAGCACGGGTCAGCATTACCAGCACCAGTCGCTGGCCGGTAACTTAGTACACTGGCCGTCCCAGCTGGATGAGGGGTTAACTGGCCAGCCGTGGGATCGGTCACGCCGGCCGGCCCGCGTTTCAGGGGTCAACGGCGGGGTCAAACACCGGTTACCAAGCCTATATCGGACGTTACGGTGCGAAAGTATGCTGATAAGCGGGCGAACGTTATAATTTTACTGGAGGACGTCAGCGAATGCTCGTTTAGGTCCGCACGCCATGGATGGCAGTCTGAACTTCTGGTCGAAAACTCGAGAGCACTGACGCTTGGGCGACATGCACCAAAAAGAGCAAGAAATTTGTAAAACCCACTAAGCACATCAATAAATCTGTGAACCCACCCTCCCAAGCTCCAAACCATGTTTGAAAACCCATACACCACAATTTTCAAACGCAGCCTTATCTATCTGACATCTTCTGTTCCCAATCATTCTCGTCATCTCCTATTATACACAACCCAGTAAAATTACCCTAATTCAATCATTTCTCATCACACATCAAACGCTCCCCATTTGGAGGCGATGCCAGCAGGAGGCAGGACGTGCGTCTGAAAGCGACGCGCTGCGCCGCCGCCGGCGGCCCGTATTTGGCGCAGTGGTGGCGGCTCCGGCGCACGAGGTCACGCTCCTGAAGCGCCGGCCGTTTTGGCGTGGGACGCCGGTGCGGAGACGCGGAACCAGAGGCCGGTCTGATGTAGAGGCGGGGATCCTCGTGGTGGGATGGGAGTGACATTGGGAGGAAGATGCAATTGGAGTGACATTGGTTGAAAATGGCATGAGAGTGACATTGGGTAATGGGTGGAAGGTTGAATAGGAAGTGTCATTAGATTGCAGAGGGGATGCGAGGGGCGTTGGGAGGCAGACGGAATGGGAATGACATTGGGTGGAAGAGGAAGGCTCGCACTAAGCGTCTCCTAGCCTGGGAGCGGCGCGCTGCTGCAGGGATGAGGCAATGTAACCACGAACCATAGAGAACGAAAAAAAATGAAAGCACGACACAATAGATAAAAAGAAACAAGGCAACACGTTTCGGTTGCACAACAAAGATGACAGATAGGAACAGCACACAATACCTACGTTACTGACAACAAGGGAGGAGATCCGAGGGCCTAGATACGCTTTCAGGGCCTAGTAGCTAGAAAACCGAAGAAAATAACGAGACTAAAAATACCGCAGTTTCACAAAGTGCAAAAATATGCAGCACAAATTTTAGCCGAAGCATGAGGGTTATCCCGGAGAATCTCTCCATGTATCCAGGTAAGCTCACTCACAAATGCCTTTGCAAACATGGCAAATGCACTAAAAGGAATTGTCTTCTTCCTTGATTGCCTTCGTTACTTCTGATTTTACCATATGACTTACATCGAGTAGGCATTACTCAAAAACAATGCAAGAGGAGAGATGTCCAACGCTGTGGACTCGGATTATCCGTGATATGCCACCCGGAAAGAACCGTTACACGTTAGACCCCACGGCCCGCCCGGACCGTAGCCATCGGAGAAGACGTCTTTACAGCGACACGTCGACAGGCGCACTCGAGACGTCTGTGGCGCTCCAGACGTATGTGGCGCTCCAGCCATACGTGGCGCTCTCAAAGTTACAGCGCCGGTCGGACTGAGATTCCATCGGATACATGTGTCGAGCGGAGCCCGGAGTCACGACACGGAGAAAACGTATGGTGAGGATAGCTTTCCCTCCCGTTCATTTCAAAGTATTTGATGAATCGTCCCATGGATACGATGGCGCCGCTGGTTATCGGATTTTACACGCGAGACGGACTGATGTTACTCTGACGGCTGAACTAAACGACATGTGGACAAAGCTCCAACCACCGTAGCCCACAGCGCAGACAAACACACAAATACCGCCACAAGTTCACTCCACCGCATCCCACCACACACCCAGACCACACTCTGCTTACCTCGTTGGAGAGGTAGTTGACCATGACCATCGCGGCGTCGAAGCAGCGTGACGCGTGCTGCAGGTCACCGCGGGCTGCGGCTAGGTCACGCTGGTGACCCGCCAGCTGATCCTCCAGCTGGTTGACCTGAACCTCATGACGAGCGGCCGCCGCTGCTGCCGCTGCCGCCGCCGCCGGCCCCACCTTGATGGGCACCGGTTTGGCATCTGTAAGAGAGAGAGAGAGAGGGAGAGAGTTAGAGAGGCGAATGATACGGTGGTTTATTTCAGAGAAGAGACGAAGACAGAACAATGCAGAGATTGAGTGGATGTCAAAGACGTTGCGATACAATGTCTGTACACAGTCGGAGATCTAAAGCCAGGTGTCAGGCAGATGTTTGGTGCTAAGTCGTGAGACGCTAAGCTGAAGTTATTCCTCAGAAGCGGCGATAAGACGGCTATTAATCAGCGGCTTACAGAAGTTTGCACTGCCAGAGTGGAGGCGGTATTATCGCATTGCGTCTCTTGCTGCAGACACTCCACTAAATGGTAGCCAATTCAACAAATTAACGAACATCTCAGACTTGTGACAGCAGACGTGTATGTAGAGATAATTAGAATTTGAGGACACCTTCCCAATCGATCGGTGCAGCACCATTCGAGGGTTTAGCACCCATCGATTACTGAATTGCGATGAAATAAATAAAACAAAATGAAATGAACACCATTTTTCAGCCGTTGACGCTCGTTCCCCCTTCCCGAGTTATTGGTCATTAAATCAAACAGTAAAAAAAGCTTCAGACCCGTCCCTCGTTTTTCTGGCTCTCGTCCCAAATCTACTGTCAAGAGTTGTTTTCCCTCCCTCGCTTTGGCTTCCTGTGTCGTCTGTGACGTCAGAGAGCGGTGGGAGGGGGGGAGGAGACCGATCGACTGCCATGCCCTCAGCTGAGAGAGGTTCACGCATACCAACGGGAGAAGGGAAGGGAAGGAAAGCCAGCTGAACTTCGACCTCGACCACTCAGCACCAGCTCCTCTCCACCAGAGCTTATCGGTCTTCACCCTTCCCGAAATTGGTGGGGATGGCAAGAAGAGAGAAAATCGATAGATGGGTCAGAAGTTGACTCAGCCTCTAAAAAGACTCCGTTCGTCAGAGCATAAAGCATGTTGGGAAACTCTTGTCACTGCTAGACGCGAGCGATCGCCGATCTTACATTCACGGGTGGCCAAAGACGGTTTATTTAGACTCGGTTTGTGCTTGTTTACGAGGCGAATACAATACAAACATGCTTGTCTCATTCGGCCAGAGACGAAACATGTTTTCTTCCACGTTCTGTCTAGCTCACTTGCAAGCGAACCGAACTATTTATATATGTTTTCATTCATGACGTCCATCAAATACTTCAGCAAGGTAAACTTAAATAAATCAAAAAAGGCGTAATCATCGATGATTCAAGTGTCAACCTGAACGCATCAACACCCGAAAGTAAAAATCAGGGTAATCAACCCGGGGCATCATTTCCTTTGCAAACTTCCCGTGAGATCAAGGAAATGATGTCGGCTCAATTGAGGATACTTTGATACCCTCTCATCGGGTTACCTAAAGGCGGTACAGTTGGCAAGGATGCCAGTCCTATGCTATGCGTAGTTTCCTCGGGAAAAGTTAAATCATTCTAGGACACCGTGAGCCCATAAGTATAATCAGGTTATTGGGTTTTCCACACATTCGACCATCATCATTAAGCTTATGCCCTCATCATAAGTTTTAATTCTCACCCTATCTCACTATCACAACATATCACAACACCAGTGCAGCCGTAACGCCTGGTTTCTCGCTCCAGAAACCCAAACAGAGCCCGGTATCCATTTCACGAATGCTCTCTGGGTCGGCCAGGGCGGCGGCGGCCCAGCACTGCCCCAATATCTGACCGTCCGCCCCAATTCGTTCTGTCAGCGCCGTGGGCTTCAGAGGTCTCTAAGCGCCAGCCCGGCCCATCAGGTGCCAGGAGCTCTCAGCACCCACCCAGGCGGGGCCACTGTTTGGCCTAACCGGATCACCGGGCGGGCCAACCACCGACCACCCACAGATACTCGGTCGGAATTAATTACAAACATCACACACTCTGATTCACGTGATTATTCACGGCGGTGAAATAGGGGAGAGTGGGGCAAAGCGGCCACCCTAACGTTTCTAACGATGCCGACGCTTGATTTTTAAACTTGAAAAGATTCTTTCTATACCAATGTGATCCCTATTAAATTGTCTTTTATTCCAACTGCGTTTCATTTCCAAAGGCGTTCACATATGGGAGATATTGACAAAACTTTAAACCTATAGCATATTGGCCACTTTGCCCCATCCCTGAGGCAAAGCGGCCACTGGCGACTTCTCAAGTCCCGATATGAGAAACAGAATAGTTGCCTCATGCACGACTAGGGTATTTGATGGTGACAAGGTTTAAGGGAAGATGGATGTTTACTTTGTTATCTTCCCACCTATTGCTAAACAAAGAAAGAATTTTCTTGGAAAAACATTTAATTGCATAATTCGGTAACTCATGTAACCGAAAAGTGGCCAAGATGAATGCATGACAACACATTTGAATATAAATAATGTTTTTATCCAGATGGAAACAACTTATGGCCAATTGGGGGCTGGCCACTTTGCCCCGGCCGCTTTGCCCCGCGCATACCGTCCGAGACAAAAATATTCCAGCTCAGTTATTGGTGGGGTAAAAAGCATTAAAATTGGTAGAAGGCATGTACGATAACCACGCAATGCATGGACAAAAACGCTTATAAAAATTCCAAACGGTTATGGAATAAAATAACATTTAAAAATTGTAAACATAATTGGTAACCTGGCAAGAAATGCTTTTCCGTGTTTCACAGAACAATGGCGATGGGCCTGAAACCCCGGTCTGGCTCATTCGAACGACCGCAAAGAGAAGTATAATTGGAAATCATAAATTGGAACTGACGCCAGCTGTGGAGGGCTAAAACGATGGATGGCCGCTTTGCCCCGGGTGGCCGCTTTGCCCCACTCTCCCCTACAGAGACTGAGATTACCAGGCGCTCAACTGGTAACGCTGGGCCGTTTAGGAGCCGATTCTTATTGGCAAGAGTCAAACATTCCGACCCAATCCCCGGGCATACCAGTATGTTTGCTCGCTAACGGGACATGTCAGGCAACAATAGATGCTAACAATCGTGCCTTTCTTATGCGGGGACGCGCCTCTATCGTTTGGCTGTTAGCCCAAACAAACGAGCGGGTTGGAATACAAAATGAGCGAAACTTACCACCGACATCTACGGGCTTGCCCCAGCACTGGAAAATGTCGGAGATGGAGGGAAACATGCAAAACAGCCCTCCGTCAGACATGATGGTGGTTTTCGAACAGTCACTCGTGTCTCCACGTGTCACGTCTGGCCACGTATCACGTGCGGTCACGGCCAGTCACGTGCCGGGGGCGAAAACAGCCCGCCACGCGTCACCACTCGTGGCGGCCGTGCGTGACGGTTGTGACAGGCGTGACAGCCGGTCCGTCGGCCGTCACACGCGGCGACAACCGTCGGGCCCGGCCCGGACCGACCCGACCCACGCCGGTCTCCAGTGGGCTCTTCACAACTCGCCGCGTAGGCTATCACGGGAGCTTCTTCCGCGCTGATCTCCGCCCTATCACTCTCTCACCAAGTTCGCGCGTGGGTCGCCAGCGCACTACGCGCTCACTCCACCCAACTCTCGCCGCTGGAGCACTCGATCACTCCTCCACGCTCGTCGCTCGCCACTTCCGACACTGACGCCTGCGACGCGACGCGTCCGCGCTGCCCCCATGCGCACACCTTCCTGTGGCGACTGAGACGGCGCGGGGGGCGGCCGGCACCGGCGGCGGCGCCGCGTCCCTGGCACACAGAAGGCCACGGCTACGCAGCCCGATGCTATCGTTCTATGACGGAAAACGGCGCGCGAGGGGCCCTGTCGTCCATACCAATTCGGCAGATGACCTTTGTCTGAACGCCGCGGACGGGGGGGGGGGCTGCAGGGGGGGGGGGGGGGGCGCACGGAGGCAGGTGAGCGACGTGACGGGTCCTGGTGACCTTGCGCCTTCCATACAGGAACAGGGGGTCCGTCAGATGGGTGCCGACGTCCCGAGACGGTCAGCATGTCATCTCACGCAGATCAGTATCAATGCTGACCGGGAGACTCCGAAAGCGCGTCAGGGCGACTCGCGCGACTACCTCTACACAACTCAGGGACGACTCGGAAGAAACTCAAAAGCAGCTCGGAAGTTGTCAAGAACCTGTCATTACGCACCAACACATCCGCCTTGCTGATCAACGATAAGCTACAACGAGCCGATTCATCACCCCATACACGTTTTTCTGGGCGACGCCCTGACCTCCCAAACACCTCGCTACTCGCTCAGGCTGGATCTCCAGCCCCACATAGCGACAAGTGCGTGCAATTGAGCATGATTTAGGCTTCCGGGGCTTGCCGGCTGCTGGGCGCTGGGCGGCGTATTATGCAGGATGTGCAGCGCCTGAATACGAATGATGATGATATGCGATCATGCAAGCAAGGAGCCAACTTGCCGGACACAACTAATCCAGTGGATTTACCAGATGGTGGATAAACAAAGGTGATGTGAGATCGCTGGACGTCGATCCGTTTTTCAGCGAATTGCGAGCACACGCAGGAAGGAAAATGTGCACGGGAAAGGATGGAAAGACAACAGATAGCGAATCAAGACATGACATCAAGAACAAGCTGCAGGAAAATATTCTAGAAAGGATGGCCGTAGGTAAGGGAAGGAACGCGAGGGAAGGAAGAAGAGACGCGCGGGAACCGAACGAGAGGGATTATCGGAAGGGGACGAGGACTAGCGAACGGAAGGGAGATGGGACGGCCTGTGAACGGATTAGCCCCCCAGCCTTCACCCAGCCCGTCCAAAGCAGACGGGTTGGACACGATTAACGGCAGGGAGCGGCACACGGCACAAACAGTCGCTGCTCTGTTTGTGTGTGTTGGGGCGCGGCGCTTGTCCGACGACGGGGTTAATGAATTCGGCGTCTGCTGCCACCATCAGGCGCGCGGCCGACGGCGTCTCGCCGCCGGCGACGAACGGGCCGGGGTCACGCCCACAGATGAGACAAGCACATAGCAGCAGGAACGCAGGGAGCGTCCTGAAAAAGGAGCGCAGGAACTGCTTGGCTTCGTTCCGAGCGGTACC